TGACATGATACGGCGGGTGGGGGGTGGGTGGGAAGATGCCCTGGGCCTGAGCTATCAAGGGAGAATTTCTATGGGGAGCCAAGTTCCCCTTCATCTCCTGCATAAATTAAGACGATGCTAGTTGTTGTAAAAATAATCTCCAAAATATCGGTGCTTAATGCAAGTTTATTTCTTGCTCACATAAAGTCCAGTTGGCATTGAAGGGGATAGAAGGGCCTCTGCTCTACATAGATGTATAAGCCAGGGTGATAGAGGATCTACCATCTTCAATAAGTGGCTTCCAAGTTCACCTTGGGCATTGACTTCCAGCTGGAGAGAGCAGAGGGTGGCCAGGGAAGTTTTCATGAGCCGGGCCTGAAAGTAGCGTGTTATCACTTACGCCACATTCCGCTGGTCAGAGCTCGGTCTCCTGGCCTTCTCTGGGAATCGGGGGCCTGGAACTGTAGTCACCGGTTGGGAAGCGACTTCCCCACAACAACTGTGCACTGTGGAGGGATGATGAGGCTTCGGCAGACAGCTAACCATCCCATCCCTGCTGTTCCCTGATCCAGGCTTCCCTCCTTCTGCCTCCGCCAGTTTGCGCACACTCCAGGGAGCGAGCCTTTGAGTGCAGGAAGAGACCCGCAGGGCTTTTGCATCTCTAGCGTCCAGATCAGTGCCAGATCATTGGAAGTGCTTTGGGGTATTTGGTGAATGAACAAATGCTTGATTATCATTTTGCTTGTTAAAAACACAGATGCCACAAGGTCAGGAGTTCAAGACCAGCCTGGCCAACATGGTGAAACCCCGTCTCTACTAAAACTACAAAAATTAGCTGGGCGTGGTGGCACGTGCCTGTAATCCCAGCTACTCGGGAGACTGAGGCGGGAGAATTGCTTGAACCTGGGAGGTGGAGGTTGCAGTGAGCCGAGATCATGCCACTGTATTCCAGCCCGGGTTACAGATTGAGACTTGGTCTCAAAAAAAAAAAAAAAAAAAAAAAAAAAAAAAATACAGATGCCTGGTGGAAAACAGTTTGTTGGTTCCTCAAAAAGTAAGATATAGAATGAGCGTGTGATTCAGCAGTTCCAGGCCTGGCTATATTCCCAAAAGAATTGAAAAGAGGGGCTCAAACAGATCCTTATACACCTATGTTCACAGCAGCATTATTCACAACACCTGAGAGGTAGAAGCAACCCACGTGTCCACCAGGAGATGAATGGAGAAGCAACATGTGGTAAATACTGGAATATCCCCAAATAGGAATGAAATTCTGACACATGCTGCAACATGGATGGAGCTTGAAGACATGATGCTAAGTGAAATAAGCCAGAACCAAAAGGACACATATTGTATGATTCCACGTATCCCAGAATAGGCAGATTCATACAGACAGAAAATAGAATGGTGGTTGCCAGGTGCCGAGAGAGAGGAAACTGGGGAGTTATTGATTAATGGGTACAAAGTTTCTTTTTGGAATGATGAGAAAGTTCTGGAAATGGATAGTGGTGATTTACAACAAGGTGAACGTATTTAGTGCTGCTGAATTGTACATTTTAAAATGGTTAAAATGGCGAATTTTATATTATGTATCTTTTATCACCATAAAAATAGAAATGTTGGTCAGGTGCAGTGGCTCATGCCCGTAATCTTAGCACTTTGGGAGGCCGAGGTGGGCGATTGCTTGAGCTTAGGAGTTCAAGACTTGCCTGGGCAACATGGTGAAACCCCCTCTCTACTAAAAATACAAAAACTAGCCAGATATGGTGGCAAGTGCCTATAGTCCCAGATACTCAGAGGCTGAGGAGGGAGGATCACCTGAGTTGGGGAGGTGGAGGCTGCAGTGAGCCGTGACAGCATCACTGCACTCCAGCTTGGGCTACAAGGCAAGATCCTGTCTCAAAAAAAAAAAAAAAAAAAAATGCTTAGGCTGCATACCAACAAATTCCTATCCTGTTAGGGCTGGGGAGAGCTGGGTTCTGTATTGTTGAACAAGCTCCTCAGGTGAATCTGATGTGCACCTAAGTTTGAGAGCCACTAGTCTAGCTCTGGTTGTTGGCAGAATGGAGGAACAAGAGGTCATCTCTCTGAAGGTCTTCTAGAAGAGGGCTTCTCAAACGTTGATGTGCATATGAGTCCCCTGGGGATTGTGCTGACGTGCAGAGGCTGATTCAGTGGTTCTGGGGTGAGGCCTGATATTTTGTATTTGTAACAAGCTCCTAGGTGATGGTGATGCTGGTGCCACTGGCCTGTGAACCACACGTGGAGTATCAAGGCTCTCGAGGGCAGATGGTCGTCTTGTCCATGGTAGACAAAGTGGAGGTCTGGAAAGGAGCAAGTGAATGTGTAAGATGACTGCTCCAGATACATAGATTTCAATGAGGATGAGCTGGGGATGAATGAGGAGCAGGAGTGCCACTGATTTGTGAATTAGCTTCTGGGTGTGGATCAAACAGGCAGGCTTGTGGTTTAGCTGAAAAAACATATCAAGGGCCAGGCCCAGTGGCTCACACCTGTAATCCCAGCAGTTTGGGAGGCCGAGGCAGGAGGATTGCTTGAGTCCAGGAGTTCGAGACCAGCCTGTGCAACATGGTGAAACCCTGTCTCTACAGAAAAAAAATTACAAAAATTAGCTGAGCATTGTGGCATGTGCCTGTAGTCCCTGCTACTCCAGGGGCTGAGGCAGGAAGATCACTTGAGCCAGAAAGGTTGAGGCTGCAGTGAGCCGTGATCACACCACTGCACTCCAGCCTGGGTAACAGAGTGACATGCTGTCTCAAAAAAACAAAAAACCAAACAAACAACAATGACAACAAAAAACCCTGCAAAACTTATTGAAGTTAGAGATTATTAGCAAATAGAATCGTGTGGATTTTGCTCAAGTATGTCTGAATTTCCAGACTTTGTGCTTTATAATAAGGGGCCTAGCCCAGTGGAATACAAGCTAAACTGGCCCACATCTTACTTTTCTGTTGCCTTTCCAAATCCTTCTCATCCTACGGAGTCCACCTCAGGTCCCAGGCTTCCAACAGCTCCTCAGAGCTGAATTCCACCTTTTCCACCACTGCCCTTCACCAGGATGAAGTACTTCGGAGCCCTTAATCCACCCTGTGCTGCATATTGGGTCACCTGCCTGAACTGTTTACCGATAGCGTCACATCAACTGTTTTTCTGCCCATATGTCCAGCTTGCTCCCCGGACCTGGCGGGCTCCTTCCCTGGCAACATTCTCGAGGAAGAACTGAAACTCCATCTTTGAACAGTGGAGCAGCAGGTAGTATGGCTCAGTAGTTAAGGAATTGGACGCTCATGAGTTTAAATCTCATTCCCATCTCTTCTAGCTCCTCTAACCTTCTCACCTGTCAAGTGGTAATCGTGATACCTTTCTCCCGTCTGCAGTGAGATTATAAGCAGCACCTGGCACCTAGTATCGGGATCCGTATTTTCCTGACAGCGTTCCCCTTCTAAGGTAGCCCTTAGGCTGGTTCCATCTTCTGCGCCTTTAGCCTCTGAGGAGTTTTTCATTCCCTCTTGCTGGTTGGAATTGGCTCTGATTCGTGTTTGTTTGCCCAACGTCTGGTGTGCAGGGGAGGTGGGGTTGGGGGGCATTCTATGCAGACCGCTCAGTTTTGATCATTGTGCTTGCAGTTCTGGAGGCGACCTGCAGATGGCGTGCGCATCCTTGGGAGGCTGGAACGAAGCTGGGCTGTCACCAGGTGTCTGGAATGCAGAGCTTTGATTTTCAACTGATGCCTTTAGCTGCTTCTCCTGGCTGGGTCCTGGGTGTGGGGGCTGAGATGAGCATTTCTTCATGAGCCTAGGAATACCGAGGCGTACGGAATCTCTGCCCCTCCCCTCTCACGGTGCTGACCCGGGAATCTAGTTATTCATGCGAGGGACTCCTCTGCATCCCACACATTCTTGTGCTCAGACAGTGTTTGTGGGATTCGGAAGATGCTTCTACGAAAGGTCATGCATCCCAGGTGGGGCCTCACCGGGGCCCAGGCTAATAGGTATGAGCTGCCTGCACGCACAAACTCCTCCCTCCCTCTCCAGCCCTTCCCAGTTCCTCCTCTCAGCTGCTGGGGAGCAGCGGGTCCCAGACTCACCTTCCTTCCAGGTTCCTGATCCACAGCTTAGCCTCAATTGCAGCGCTCGACTCAGGAGCCCCCTGTGCACTTCTTAGGTGCACTTCTTTTTCACCCAGGGGCCAGTCACCTGCTTCTGCCTCTCCAAACCTTCAAGTCCCTGGAGTTCCATCTCACCTGCCACCTCCTGTGATGCCCTCTGGACCCTCTCATCAGAAACGGGCCTCTGCACACCCACAGCACCTTGCCTGCTCCTCCGTGTGGACGCCTGTTCTTCCACTTGGCTGACTCCTTGGAAGCCAGGTGAGGTACCTGGTGTGCTGACTTGGTTCTCTTTGGCTGAGCTCCATTCCCTCTCCTCCATGAGCTTCTCTCACTCCTCAGACCTCTGACGACTTCTCTCCTTCTCCCTCTGATCTCATCTGGTCCTAACAGCCCAGAACTTTAGGCCTTGGCCTGGTGCCCCAGGTTTAGATAATCTCTTCTTCCCGGCTCTCAATAGGCACCTCTCCCACAGCTGTGGGCTAGTGATCTTGCACAGTCCTGGCCCCCTGGCTACCCTGCACTCTCTTGGAGGAGAGAAGCCAGTAGGCAACCCCCCCCCCATCCCAGGCTCCCCAGTGCTTGGTGAGCCCGAGGTCGCCTCATTCCATCTGCTACAAGCTTCCCTCTGTTTACAGGTAAGGACACTGTGGGTCAGAGGGGTTTAGGAGTTTGCACGAAGCCACTGACCTAGTTCCCCTTGCAGGCCCAGCACAGCTCTGAGAACAGAAGAGGAGGCACCTTGGCTAATTGCAAGCCTTTGAAAGTCTTAAAGCACTGAGCCAAAGCCCAGGCTTCTCACAAAGTCTCTTTATGCGAGACAGAAGGCCTGGGATCGGGGTCTCTCCTCCCTCCCCGCTGGCCCTCGCCAGATGGGAAAAAAGCCACCACATAGAAACATAACCTTTATTGCACACGGCGCTGGGTCTTTTTTCATAGAAAAAGGTATTAACACATAAGCATCTGCAAATTGAAGCAACTCCTGGTTTTCTTGGAACAGTAAAATCGCATGCAGTGTCTCTGAGTTGGGATTTTGGTCTTTGTCAAAACCACCTAGATTGGGGGAGGGTGAGGAGGAAGGAAAAAAATTGCTGAGTCTTTGTGCCTCTGTCTCAAAATAGGGTGAGAGAAATATATAGATATATAGCTTGTGGACGCGTTCCTATCTGTCTATATATGTATATATATCTCCACACATATTTTGTGGGGTGGGGGATTTGACTTGTACTGTCAAATTCTTTGTGCCCTGGCTTCATGGAGAAGAAGAAAATAGTTTCATTTGTACAAAAGAGTTCTATGTACAGGCGTTCATGATTGGGGGTTTTTGTTTTGTCGTTGGTTGGTTTTTGTCTGTCAGTTGAATATAAATAATGCAGAAAAACAGCCGAGCTGGCGTGTGGGGCTGCGGCGCGGCACGGTCCAGGCGTGGGCTGCTCTTCCTGCCAGCGCTACACCAGGGTGTAGGATTTGGAGTAGGCCCCGGCCCCCTGCTTCTGAGACCTCCCTACCCCCGACGTGCTCATCTCGAGAAGCGAGTCCCTGGAGCCCCCCATTTTGGTGTGTGGACCCCCGGCTCGTGGAGGCTCGGTGCTGGGGGCCGGAGGGGCAGCACTGGGGGCGGTGGGGGGCTCAGCCGGGGTGGGGCCGGGGGCTGGGGGGGCTGTGCCGGCTGGGGGTGCTGGCATGGCCAGAGTCCTCTGAGGTAAGGTGGCTGTGGAGGCGGCAGCGGGGGCCCCTGGGTGGGGGAGGCCCAAGGGCTTGCTGGCAGGGTCCAGGGTCAGGTGGCGAGCCTGGGTGTGGTAGGTTCGAGCCAGGTTCCGGATGGAGGCCTCACGGGGTGGGACCACGGGGCAGGGCTCACGTCCATCTGCCTTTCGAAAGAAGGCCTCTGACTTGGCATACAGGGGCAGGTTGCAGTAGTCACCTGGAATCACAGAGGCAGAGGATGTTAGAGGCAGAGGCTCATTCAGCCCTCACCCCATCGCCTGCCCCCCGTCTTCTCTCTGACCTGGCACAGGGGCCCCTCCACTGGGGGGCAATAAAGAGTAGCGGAAAGGTGGGGTGCTTGGCCTTTCTGACCTTCATTTCCTTATCTGTGAAATGGGGATGATCTTACTTCCCCACAGGATTATTGTGAGGGGCGAATGAGATGAGGTAGGTAAAGTGCTTTGCTACAGTGGCTGCTGCAGATAACAGCTGCCCAATACATGGATGCTTGTTGTTCAATGGTCACTAGAGGCTGGTCAGCTTCCGGTAGTGGAGAGCTCACTACTGCTAAGGACAAGGATGTCCTAACGGCTCTGGCTGGTGGAAAGCTTTTCTTTACCCCGAGGAGGAAAGGAATATCATTCCCTGTCGCCTCCCCACCATGGAGCCTGGTTCTGTCCTCTGAGGTCTCACAGAGTGAGGCGTCCCCCTCTTTCCCATGGGGGCCTTCCAAATGTTTGAAATCAGTTACATGTCCTCCCTCCTCCCACTTGGTCGCCTCTTCTCCAGGTGGAAAGTTCCTAATTTTTTTTTTTTGAGACAGAGTGTCCCTCTGTCGTCCAGGCTGGAGTGCAGCGGCACGATCTCAGCTGACTGCACCTCCGCTTCCTGAGTAGCTAGGATTACAGGCATGTGCCACCACGCCCAGCTAATTTCTGTATCTTTTAGTAGAGATGGGGTTTTGCCATGTTGGCCAGGCTGGTCTAGAACTCCTGACCTCAGGTGATCAGCCTGCCTTGGCCTCCCAAAGTGCTAGGGTTATAGGCGTGAGCCGCCGCACCCAACCTAGTAATTTCTTAAACTGCCTCCATGTGACATGCTTCTAAGACCTCTGTTGCCTGACCCGCCCCCCGTGCTCCATGGGTACCCTGCCTGCAAATGGGCCTCTTTCCCCGGGGGAGCTGGGCCAGGCACTTTCCTTAGATTTTCTTATTGAATCCTCACGACAGCCCCCAGGATTGGTTAATACCTGCCTGCGCTTTACAAGTGAGGAAACTGAGGTTCAGAGAGATGAAATCATTTGCCTAAATTTGCACAGCCAAAAGGGGTGGGGGTGTCATACAGGGCCACAGTCTCCAAAGTCTTTCCATTGCTCCAGGCTCCTCTTTCCATGACCCAGAGAGCCCCGCCCCTGCCTCAGTTAGCATGGCCAGTGCTAAGCAGACCACACTGCATTGTTTGATAGTCTCGGCTTTGCATGCTGTGACCCCAGCATCTGCTGATAGACTCCCCCTGGTGATCCTAGCCCTGCCCTGCCAGCCTCTAAGGGCATAGGCTCTGGTCAGGCCCCTGGGGTCAGGTGGTTCCCAGCCAGGCCAGGTCACTGCCTACCAAGAGGTATGACCATGGTGGGTGGAGCTGCCAGGACTGATCAATTGGGTCTGGATTAAATTCAAACAGCATTGAGACCAGAGACCCTTGGGCAGCTGACCCTGAAGGGATCTGTTTCCATCCTGGCACAGCTTCAGATAAAGGGGATGCTCACTACTGAATGAATGAGGCCTTACGACATGCTGGGGATGTATATCATTTCTAATACCCATCACAACAATGCAATGTAGATACTATCATTGGCATTTTACAAATGAGAAACTTAAGGCCACAGAGGTTAAACGGCTTACCCAAGGCCACAGACACAGGAAGAGGTTGAGCCAGGATGTGGGCCCTGACCTTCCTTGCTCCTAAGTCCTTGCTGTTGGTACCACCCTGCACTGCCAAGGAGCCAAGCTGGGCTGGCAGGATCCTGGTACTGGTAGGACTAGATCTAGCCAGGGCTCATGGAGCTGGGGCCAGGGGGCAGGGGGCACTGCCTGGGAGGTGGTCTGAGCACTCACTCTTGTTGGCCCGGTGAGGGATGGGCACAGCCACGTTTTTGCCCCGGTCCGCATCCTGGGGCTTGGGTGGTGAGGCAGTAAAGCGGCAGATGCCAGGCTCTGAGGGTGTGCTCATGGACGTCATGCTGTCGGCGTTCTCGTTGGTGCCTGTGGTCATCTGGTCAGAGGAACTGTCAGAGATGAAGCACTCGGTGATCTCAAACTTGGCGTGCTGCAGCTGCTCCTCCAGCTTGGCATGTTCGTAGGCCCGGGCCAGCTCCTCGTAGGTGGAAGAGGCGCTCTCAGTGGACACCATGCTGTTCCTTCCTTTGTCTGGGGAGTTAAGAGGACAGGAGTAGGATATGGGGAGAAGGGTATAAGTGAGACTGACTGAGCACTTCCCCTGCCCGTAACCCCAGCAGCCGTCTGGAAGTCTGGTCATGGAGGACACCAGGCTGAGGAGATCCTGTGAAGGTGGCAGTGGTGGCAGAAGTAGGAACTTTGACTCATGAAGGGCAGAACATCTTTCATTCTTGAATATAAGCGGCCGGGCGCGGTGGCTCAAGCCTATAATCCCAGCACTTTGGGAGGCCGAGACGGGCGGATCACGAGGTCAGGAGATCGAGACCATCTTGGCTAACACGGTGAAACCCCGTCTCTACTAAAAAATACAAAAAAACTAGCCGGGTGAGGTGGCGGGCGTCTGTAGTCCCAGCTACTCGGGAGGCTGAGGCAGGAGAATGGCGTAAACCCAGGAGGCGGAGCTTGCAGTGAGCCAAGATCCGGCCACTGCACTCCAGCCTGGGCGACAGAGCGAGACTCTGCCTCAAAAAAAAAGAAAATAAGCAACCATCCCCTGGAACATTCAGCCCTTTTGCCAGTGAACATCATGTGTACCAGTTTCTCTGACAATTTTTGGGAAAGCAACATTAACTCCCTGACCAAGTAGAGCTCAGTGACGTCAAGTGTTTTTGTCCCAGCTGCACAGTGGGTCAGTGACCAGCTAGACATGAAACTGACTTGTGCCTTGGCCCCATGAGCTGGTGGGTAGAAGCTGGAAGAATAGAAGGTGAAGGTGAATGATGGGGAACTATGGGGAGGTGTTCAGGATGCCAGCAGGGCCTTAGGCACACCTGTGTCCTGGGACAGGCTGGCGCTGTAGCTGTCACTCTCAGTGACGGTGACACCATGCTGGGAGCCCACAGTGCGCCAGTCAGAGGTGAGGGTGCGAGCAGGTGTGGAGGCCTGGCACTTGGTCAGGGTCCACTGGCTTGAGTACCGGTTCCGGGTGCTGTGGGCTGACTTTACATTCTTCCTGGATACTGGATCTGCACAGACAGAAGCAAGAAATTGCATCCTCCAACCACAGACACCCAGGCTTGGGCAGCTGGCACTTACCAGAAAGGGCAAGGGGGAGCAAGGGAAGAGGCAGACGCAGCCACAGAAGCTCCCTTGGGAATGCTGCCTTTCCTAACCACATCGCTGTCCCCAGAGGAGAAGAGCAATTGAGTCAAGGCGTGGGGGCAGTGGAGGGCATTCTCCCCTCCCACCCCATCTTTTCCTTCCACCTGGGGGAGAATGTGATGTCCTTTCCTGCTGCCTCCTGACTGTCCATTCATTCCCTACAGTCCTTGATGTGTTCTCTCCTATGTCCAGATACACAGTGCTAGAGATAGAAAGACCCTTGGAGAACTCAAATACCCAATACTCTCAAAATTTCTACGTAAGGAAACAGGCCCAGAGAGATAAAGTTAGTGGTAGACCCAAGGTCACAGTTAGTAAATCTGCAATCGAGGTCTCCAGGCGCTAATTCCAGTGCTTTCCATTTTTTCATTCTATTCCATTATGCTCCCTCCTCCCTTTAGAAAAAACACCACCTCTGTCACGCTATGCCCAAGGCACCCTGGGTGGGAAGACGGCTGTCTCCCTGGGGATAATGCATACTGGTTCCTGGCCGGATGTCAGACATGTCGATGAGGGGTCCTGTGCTCTGGATGAGGGCTGGGTGGTGCAAGGAGACGCCAGTACAGAAACTCTGTGGGTTGACAGCTTGGCTGAACTCAGCATCTGTCACAGGGATGGTGGCCTTGTCATCTCCTGGGGAAAGAAGGACAATTACCATGAGTCCTTGACAATTGTTTTTTAAAGCTCTGTTGGATGTGACTGAATTTCTCTTTGTCTTTATCCAATGTGTTTTTTGTTTGTGGATTTGTTTGTTTGTTTTTTTGAGACAGGGTCTCACTCTGTTGCCCAGGCTTAATTGTGATCATTGCTCACTGCAGCCACCTCAATTTCCTGGACTCAAGCTATCCTCCTACCTCAACCTCCCAAGTAGTTGAGACTACAGGATGTGTCACCATGCCTGGCTATTTTTTTGTGTGGTAGAAATGGGATCTCACTATGTTGCCCAGGCTGGTCTCAAACTTTTGGCCTCAAGTGATCCTTCCTCCTTGGGCTCCCAAAGTGCTGGGATAACAGGCATGATCCACCACACCCAGGCTTTATCCAATGTTGAGTCACAGAAAGGCCAGCAATTCCCTCCGTTGGACAGAGGAGGAAACTTAGCCCTTGAGAGAAGCCACAATGAGTTCTAAGGTTGTTGGGTGGTTGATGGGGCTACTGCCAGAACCCTGGGCACTGCCATGAGGGCAGGTGTTTGACTTCCATGGATTGTAGCCTGGGGAAGCACATCCAGCATGACAGGGAGCTTGTGGCACCTGTCACTCACCCAGCTGCTTGATGCCTTCTTTGTCCTCAATGAGCAGCTGGACCCTGGGGATGTCAATGTGTAGCCGTGGGCCCTGGGGTGGCCCTTTCACAGGGGTGTCAAAGCTTCTATTGTTCTTGCTGTGGGGAGAAAGACGAGGTGGGTGGCTCAGCAGCCATAAGGGGTTGAGGGAGGGGGCTTTGCAGGACAGTGGGATCTTAGAAGCCCGTCTCCTATTCTGGGAGTTCAGAGCGAGGCTCCTGAGTCCTCCTCAGGGGAGAGGGGAGAAGGGAGGAAAAAGGAAGCAGCTTGGTGATACCCACCTTATCAACATTTCTGCCAAACTCTTTGCATCTGCAAAACAGTAGAGGGAGAGGAGGGCTGGGTGAGAATGAAGTTTGAACAGGATGACAATGGGAGAGGCATGGGAAACAAGGTGGAGAATTCCTTAAAATGGGGCCAGGGCTGGTCTCCTAAGAAGCAGAAGGAGAAATGTAAGGACCTACAAAACAGCCTAAAACTTGACGCAGTTTCACTGCTCCCAATTCAGGATTTGGCTCAAGTCTGTTTTCCTTTCTTCAGATTTTATCTAATCGAGAGATCCTTCCCAAAGCACAGGGGGGCATAGCAAGTGCCCCATCTGCTTCATGAATTGACTCTACTTAAACATGACACCATAACAGGCTGGAAATGGATATCAGTGGAAAGTTTATCCTCAGTTATATCTTGGGGAGAGGAGAGGATGTGGTAGAGGTGGTCAATAGGAAGCCTCAGATTATTAAACTCTCATATCAACCAAGAGGCTTCACTTCCTCCTCTGGGGACTCTGTCCCCAAAAAGTCCATGGATGGATTTTGGGGCCCATTCTTTGTCTCAGAGGAGCCTTGAATAGGATCAGGACTCTCAGGTTAGGAATTTGGAAGAGAGAATTAAAGGGCCTACTTAATTTATTAGACCCCTGATACCTGAGAATGAGCTGTCAGAATGAATCCCAATAGTTGTATGCATGCATCCAACCATCCAATTATCTAGCTATCCATTCACCCAATCATTGATCCATCCATCCATCCATTTATTCATTGATCTAGCCATCCATCCATCTAACCATCTACCATCCAATTATCCATTCATCCATCCAACCAACCATTAATTCATCATCCACCTATTCAGCCATCCATCTGTCCATCCATCTACCCATTGATTCAACCAGTAATCCATTCAACCATCCACCCATGCATTCAACATCCATTCAATCATTCTTATATTTATATATTAAATCTTCCATCCAACCACTCCTTTAACCATTCACCCAATCATCCCACAATTCCAATTGTTTTTCCATCCAGCCATCCATCCAACTTGTCATCCATCAATCTATCAGAATAGTCATCTGTCCATCCAAGCATCTGTTCAATCATCTACCCATCTGTTCAACTATTCATATAATCATTATCTAGCCATTCAACAATCCATCCACCCATCTATTCATTCAGCCTTTTATTCAACCATCCTTACACCCAGCCATCTATTCAGCCATCCAACCATCCTTCCATCTATACATCCTTCTATTCAACCATTTATTCAGTGATCCATTCAACCATCCAACCATGTAACTACTCACCCATCTAGTCATTCAATTATCCACCCAGTCATCCATCCATCCATCCATCCATCCAATCATCAGCCATCCATTGAACCATCTGTTCATCCATTTACCCAATTCCTGAACACAATAGGGAGCATTAATCATTCTCTTTTCTGTGCTACTATTGTTTCCTGGCTTCTCACATTAGATGATAATCTCTGTAAGAGTATGGCTTTGCTATTCTTTATTGATCTCTATAGTCTTGCAATATCTATGATGAAGCAGACTCAATAAAAGTTTTCCAAATAAGTGAAAGCATATTTGTGAAGCAACTAGTAGGTGCCAGACACTGTATTAGGCCATGGGAAAACTGAGGTAAATCAGACCCATTCACAGTAGACTGTGGCATCAGGTAATGGAAAAAGGGGATAATATTCAAAATATTTAACACCTGACATGGTGCAGAAACTGCCCAGTTAGAACTGAGCATTGTACTAGAGGCTACCTGCAGGTCTATTCTTTAGTGGATGGGTCCTAGGAAAGTTGCAGGGATCCTGTGAGAGGGGATGGAGCATCCAGTGTGGAAAGGAGCAACATCTGTTTACCAACCAACATGGAAATGTTTAAATATTTAACAACCAACATGGCTTTAACCAGTGTGTACCTCTAAATATTAGCCCTGACTGGGGCAGGCACAAAGTCTTGGGGGCATAGAGGAGGAAGTGGTGAATGAAACCTTCTGAACTAAGGAGGTTTCAGAAAGTTGGAGTGACCACTCCTCCTTCAAGAGGACACAGGCACTCTGTATCATCCAGATGGTGCTGTGAGCCAGTGAAGTGGGGACAACGTGGCTGAGAGCCAACACCCCCTCCTGGAAGGCCCATAGGAAGCTCCCCCACCTCGGAGTCGCTTCAGCCGCTTCTCCTTCCTCTTCTTGCGTACAATGAAGAGCAGTGCCACCCCCAGTGTGGCCAGGATGACAGGGCAGCCGATGGTGAATAGCTTCTTCACGTCGTCTCCTTCACCTTGAGCAGACTTGATGGGTGGAATGGTGCCTGAATGAGGGCAAAGAATGGAATTAGATGTCCCTTATGAGCCAGGTGCTGTGCAGAGCATCTCTTGGGTGAGGCAGACCTCTGACCTCTCTTGCTGACCTTGGGCTCTGACCTCCACCTCCTGGCACAGAGCCCTGGCCTTCCCCTCTGCTCCCCAAATTCTGGTCCTATCAGGACAGCCATGAACAGTTGTGTCATTTTTATATTGCATTATATTGACGACTTCCTGGTACTGTTGTAGAATTAGCCTGAAGTCTCCTGGAGTTAGTCTCTCGCCTGTTGGAGTTCAGTGCTCATTCCTTGAGAGTGGATTGATGGGTTTAAATTCTCATATCCAGCTGGGATGGGGAGAACCAAGAGTGAAGCATGGTAGGAAGAAGTCAGGGCAGTGGACCCTGGGTTCTCTTTCCCAGATGGGGACAAAAACCACTACAAACCCTACATTGTCCCCCTGCTCACCCCTCCTGGGGGCCATATCTGTTAACCCGGGTCTCCTGCAGGGAAACATGACAAGTTTTCCTGCTGACATAACCCTCTGCCAAGCTCTGATCCTTGCCTGTTTCAGAGCTTTGCTTAAGAGTCACCTCCTTCATGAAGCCTTCCTTGCTTGAGTTCATCCCCTTCTGATACTGCTTTTGTTCTGTTTCCTTAACACATAGGTAGACTTGTGACAATGGGCTTCTATGAATTCAGCCTTCCATGTTCCTTCAATGGATGTGTGTGTGTATGTGTGTGTATGTGTATGTGTGCGTGTGTATGTGTATATGTATCCCTATGTGGCAGAGGCCACCTGCTGGCCAAGGCACTTAGGAACTGGTAGTATGCCTTTTCTGTGGATTTCGGAGGCTCCCTGTTCAAAAACATGGTGGCCACTCAACCTTCACAGGACTCCAAGAGAGCAAGAAACAAATCAGTACAGGGTTAAGCCACTAGGCTTTGGTATTTGCGACTGTAGCATAGGCTGTTCCCTCCTGGGTAATATTCCATATCAGCAGAAAGTTCTTAGGGGTCAGGACCTCAACCACACCTCCACCTCCCTCGTCACCTCCCTGAAACAATGCACAGTGATTGAGGACTGCAGCTTCAAAGACTCTCCATCTTTGGTATTACTGACCTATGTATCTGTCCATCTGTAGTGGCCATTGGTGCATTGCCCACTTACCTGGCTGCAACCAACCTGATGTTCCCTTTGTCAGCCCTTTTGCCTGTGGGCCAGCATTTCCCCCACCTGCATCCCTGCCTGTTTTTCTATTGGTCTGTCTCTTTATGTATCTGCCACTCTGCCCACTTCCTTCGCACTACCCTGCTCCAGCCTCTGTGCCATCCCTCCCACCCTTGCGACTCACTGCCATCGTAGTCCAGGGTGGCGAACTGGGCCGTTTCATTGCCGCAGCCAGCGCTGTTACAAGCCCTCATGCGCAGCTCGTACCATGTGGCCTCTCGCAGTTCCGTCAGGAACACCTCCCCAGAGCTGTTGGCCCGGAGGCCCTGCCAGGCCCAGGTCCCCTTGGGCCGATACTCCAGAATGATGGCTGTGATAGGGCAGCCCCCGTTGTTCCAGCCCTGCAGGTTAAGCCGAGCATGCGTGGAGTTGATGTGGGTGAAGAGGTGTTGGTCTTTGCTGAAGGAGGGCTCTGGCAGGCCGGAGGGAGAGAGAGAGGTTAGAGAGACTCGGGGGGAGGCAGGACTGGGCTGAGTTGGAAAGGATTTCCCTGGGGCAGCTGGGATGGCAGTAGCTCCAGAATACATGTTTGGCACAGGTCAGGTGGGGAAGCCCCAGGGGGCAGAGGAGGGGAGGGAGGAAAGGGAAGAAAAGGGCAGGGCCTAGAGAGAGGCCTCAGCAGAGGAGGAAGGGAGCCAGGAAGAGGCAAAGGAGTGCCACCTTCGGCCACCCAGTGGGGAAGTGGAACTAGTTTTTCCTAATGGGATCTATTGGGATGCTGTGGTGATGGGAAGGAGGCTGAGACTCCTCCCTTCAGGCTCCCTGCATCCCTGGACCCCTCCTTCCCCACCCAGCCACCTTCCACCCCATACCCAGCCCCTCTACCCCACCCTCACTGGGCCCGTCACTCCTTCCCTGCCCTGGCGGCCTGGGCCTCACCCCGCCCGTGGGTCTTGGCCTCGATGATCTCGCTGATGCGCCCAGAGCCCACACTGTTCTTGGCTGCCAACTTCACCTTGTACCATGTGCCACACTTGAGGCTATCCAGCTTGAAGGAGCGCTCGCTGGAGCTGATGAACACGTCCTTCCACTCCTCGCTGTTGTCCACTGAGTACTGTAGCACGAAGCCTGTGGAGGGTAGGCCTGATTCAGGTGGGGGCAGGGCAGGGCAACAGAAGCCCAGCCTTGGGTACCCCAATAGGGGGGCTGGGCTCCAGGGAGGGGGCACAGTCAGGCCTTTGGTCATTGGAATAGGCATATGCTCCTTAGAAGCAAAATTGGAAAGACCAGCCCCAGTCAACTCTCTGTATTAAACCAACCAATCAACAAAACACTGTAAGGGCCTTGGGTCCAGCCCCTTGGCGGGTTTGACGCTGTCACTTTGGCTCTAGTGTTAGGGGTTAGTGGCCCAGGTCGGGAGTGGAGAAAACCAGAGTTGTGAGGCTCACAAAGGGTCCTGTCTAGACCCTCACTACTTCACGCATGGCCCCCTGAGCAGCAGGCTCAGCAGCACCTGGAGCCTGTTAGAAAGGCAGGTCCTCAGCCCCAGTCCAGAGCACTGAGTCAGAGCTGCATTGTTACAAGGCCGCTGGGTGACGCAGACGCACACTCATGCTTGAAAAGCACTGATCTAGTCCATTTGTCTACTTTGACAGATTGGGAAACCCAGACAGAGAGGGAAACAGGCTACTCCAGGGTCACACAGCTCACAAGTGGCATTGGAGGGGCAGGCGTACTAAATCCCAGTTGCCTGGGCCATTGCAGTTCCCTTGGCACTTGAATGACTTCCTTGTGGGTCACTTGGCCCCCAGATCATTTCTACCATTTGGAGACAAATGGCAGAAGTGGGTGAAGCCCCTTCCCTGCCCCAGGCCCAGAATTCCTTCCCCTGTCTTCCCCCCTCATCCAGACCACTCCTCACCTCGAATGGAGCTGCCCCCATTGTCACCTGGAATCCAGGTCAGGGTGATGGATGAAGCTGAGGTTTTGGAGACAGTGAGGCGTGGCTGGTCCGGGGGAACTGTGAGGGGAAAGTCACCACCCCTTAGCACAAGGGTGGACCCTGTGACGCGGTGTGGGGCTCCCCCCATGACAGGAAGGTGCTGGCTCTCCCACACCCTCACTCCCACTCCCCAGCTCTCCTGCCTCCCCTTCCACATGCACCTCTGTTCCCCCAAAGGTCTATCTCTCACTTGATTTATCTTCTTCTATTCGATGACATTCTCACGTGATGGAATTCCTACCCTTTCTCCATCCCTGTCCCCACCAGGGGCCACCTGCCTCACAGAGCCTCACCTTGCACCAGAAGGTTGACGATGATGGTATCAAAGCCACCGGTGTTGGTGGCCGTGCAGGTGTAGTAGCCAGAGTCCTCAGCCTTCACTGCACGTAGCAACAGTGTGCCGTTGGTGTGGATGAGCCGGTGCCCGTCCATGGACACTGGAATGGCTGAGTCTTCACTGCCGGGGGCGAGGATGGGGCGGGTGGGTCATGTCAAGCACCCCTTCGTCCTGAGGCCCTCCCCCCGGTGTGTGGCAAAGAATGCTGGGAGTGGAAGGAGGCTTGCCAGGGGACGCTGGGTTCTTGGGGCTTTGCTCAGCACTCCCTGGGGGTATGAGGTAACCCGGCCTCTTTAACCATCCGGGGAAGGGAGGTCCTTGGCTCCCAAGAGGGGAGCCAGGAGGCCAGGCCTGCTTGAGAGAGCAGTAGCAGTACACCCTGCAGGGCCTCCACAGGGCCTGGAGGCAACCGGGTCACCAGGAAGGAGGGCCCCAGACTCTCCTCCTCACACCTCTTCTACTATATCCCTCTTTGGGGCCACCCCATCCCTCCACAGTCCCGACACACACCTGTCCTTGGTCCACTTCACGGCAGGGGCTGGATCTCCCACTGAATTGCAAGGCAGCCGAACATCTTTCATCCAAGGTGTCGTCACGGTGCCCCCAAAGGAGATTATTTTTGCTGGGGCTACAGGGAGGAGAGGATGAGAGCCACGCCACTTCTACCCCTGCACAATATCCTTGCCTCCTTCCTCAGGGCTCCCTGGATTTACAGTTCAAATCCTCCCTCCCCGATCTGACTTCCACCTTGGGCTTTTGGTAAGGGATGGGTGTCAGCGAATATTGGCTGGGAGACGTTGAGTCAAGAAACATTGATAAAATACCAGTTATGGTCAGGATGGCATGAGGCTCTGAGGATTCAAAAAATGAGTATGATTTATTCCCTGTCCTCATGTTGATCACCGTCAAAGAGGGAGACAGATACTTAAGGAAAAATTATAACAGGGGCAAAATGCTATGGTAGGTGCAGGCACGAAGAAGCCCAGGGGTGCGAGGCAGGGGGAATTTGAATGCTGCTTGATAAGTGGGCGGTGGAGGTGATGGCCGGGAACAGCATCTGGAATAGGAAGCTCTCACTTGAAGGCTAAGAAAGACTTTATATGCAGGGAAGGAAACGTATGTCAGGAAAAGGGAACAGCACTGAGCAGGGACGTGGAGACCTGAAGCTCACGGCAGGTGTGAGGGTTTGCAGATACCCTGGGGTAACCAAAGCTTGAGTCCAGGGGACGGGCAGGAGTAGAATCTTGGGGGCTTTGCTGGCAGGGCCAGGAGGTTGGACTTCCTCTTAGACAGCCACCACCAGAGGGTTATAAGAAGTGGTGTTGGCCAGGCGCGGTGGCTCATGCCTGTAATCCCAGCACTTTGGGAGGCTGTGACAGGCGGATCACCTGAGGTTGAGGTCAGAAGTTCAAGACCAGCCTGGCAAACATGGTGAAACCCTGTCTGTCTACTAAAAATACAAAAATTAGCCAGGCACGATGGCAGGTGCCTGTAATCCCAGCTACTCGGGAGGCTGAGGCGAGAGAATCGCTTGAACCTGGGAGGCGGAGGTTGTAGTGAGCCGAGATCATGCCACTGCACTCTAGGCTGGGTGACAGAGCAAGACTGTCTCAAAAAAAAAAAAAAAAAAAAAAAAAAAAAAGAAGGAGTGGTGTCCTCAGCCGATTTCAGATGCATCCTGGCTGCTTGCAGAGGATAGTTTGGTGGAGGGGGGTCCCAGAGGACATAGACCATGACAGGATGGTGGCCAGAATGCAGGCTGGAGGTGATGTGTGGCAGTGGGGAGATGAGGGGCTCAGAGCAAGAGCTGACAAAACTTGGGGTCTCGCTACTTTGGGGGAAGAGAGTGGGGAGGGGAGGATGGCTTCCAGGATTCTGGCTGGGCCACGGAGGTGAGTGATGGTACCCTCATGGGAACAGGGCACAATGGAGGAGGGGCAGGCTTGGCAGGAAGGCCCAGATGGCTTCACCTCGTACTGAGTCCACAGTGCAGCCACAGCTGTAGCTAGACCTCAGGCGGGTGCGTGTTCTGGAGCGCCAGAGAGATGCCTGGACCAAAGACGCTGATCTGGGAGTCAGCAGGCGTGATGAGGCCACAGGAGGGGATGCAGACTGACAGGGAAGTGACCAACTCTAGGATCAGTATGCACAGGCAGAGAGGAGAGGACGGGAGTGCCCCGAGGGTGGCTGCAGAGGACTGGGTCAGCAGCATCACAGAAAGTGCAGGGCCACAGGTGCCCAGAGTGTGGTGGGTGGGTAAATGCATCTAGTGCCCGAGAGATCGCCAGGCCCAGATTTAAAGGAACCAAGTGCCCAGGTGCCTCAGAGAGTAGAGCAGGCCCATGGAGCTGGGGCCCTTCTTGGGTGGAGGGGGAGTGAGAGTGAGAGTGAGGGAGCAGCTGAGAGGTTCAGGTGCAGGACGTAGGGGCTGGGCTCCTGTGCTGGTCGTGCCGGGTGCCAAGGAGCTCTGAGAGAAGGGGAGTTCTGGGGTCTGCTTGGAGCAGTAGGGGCACCAGGCAGGCCCGGCAGAGGGGTTCACATGAAGACGGCCTCCGGGGCGGGCAGTGAGAAGCCTGGGGCCTTTGTGGAGGTTCTCCGAGTTTCTCCAGAGATCAGCTTCCAGACCTGGTTTTGCCACAGGCTGGGGTTGGCTCCCTGAATCTCTGTGTGTCTCAGGGTGTGTGTGCGTGTATGTGCATCTGCATGTGTGTGCATGTGCATGCGTTAGTGTATATGTGTGTGCATATGCGTGTGTGTGTGCACATGCGAGTGTGCATGTGTTAGTGTGTATGTGCATATGTGAATGTGCACGTGTATACATGTGTGTATGAGTATGTATGTGCATGTGTGTGCATGTATTAGTGTGTATAGTGTGTGCACGTGTGTATATGCGTGTGTGTGCATGTATTAGTGTATACTGTGTGTGCATGTGTGTATATGCATGTGCGTGTGTGCATGTATTAGTGTGTATAGTGTGTGTACGTGTGTGCATGTATTAGTGTGTATAGTGCGTGCGTGTGTGTATATGCATGTGCATATGTGTGTGCATGTATTAGAGTATAGTGTGCATGTGTGTATATGTGTGTGCATATGTGTGTGCATATATTAGTGTGTATAGTGTGTGTATGTGTGTATGCATGTGCATGTGTGTGCATGCATGTGTGTATAGTGTGTGCATGTGTGTATATGCGTGTGCATATGAGTGTGCATGTATTAGAGTGTATACTGTATGTGCACGTGTGTATATGCATGTGCATGTGTGTATGTATTAGTGTGTATAGTGTGTGCACATGTGTATGTGTGTGCATGTGTGTGCATGTATTAGTGTATACTGTGTGTACGTGTGTATATGTGTGGGTGCATGTGTGTGCATGTATTAGTGTGTATGTGTGTGCATGTGTATGCATGTGTGTGCATGTATTGCTGTGTATAGTGTGCACGCATGTATACATGTGTGTGCATATGTGTGCATGTATTAGTGTGTATTGTGTGTGTGTGCGTGTGTGCATGTGTGTGCATGTATGTACATGTGTTAGTGCGTAGTGTGTACGTGTATGCACATTAGTGTGTGTATGTGCATAAGTGTGTGAGTGTGCAGGTCTGTGTGTATAAGTGTGTGTGCATATGCGTGTGTTCATGCATGTGCATATGTATGTGAGTGTGCAGTGTGTGTGTGCACGTGTGTGTGTGTATGGGGGAAGGGGACAACAATGGTTGTCTTTCTCAGCTCACAGGGCAGCTGTGAGGTGACGCTGTGTAAATGTGTTCTAGGAAGTCCACAGCTCTCTAGGACCGTGTTTGTTTAATGCCCCCAGGAGAAGGGGCCAGCCTTCTGCAAAGATGTCCAGCCCTCACACTCCTGCCTCTGGGCCAGTGCCAGCTGTTCTGGAAAGATGATAGGCTTTAGGCCCCTTCCCTTTCTGAAGAGGGTGGTGGTAGGGGTAAGGGGGTGGTAGGAGGCCCTGAGGCTGCGTGGAAAGAGCCCTGACTTGGAGCTGGGAGAGCTAGCTCACTCCTTCCTGGCTGTCTTTTCAGCCCATGCCACTCCCGCCTCAGGTTGCTCAGCTGTGGAATGGGTCAACAAGCCCTGCTGGCAGGGCAGGTGGAAGCTCCTGGCCCACCGTAGGCCCTCGATCAGATGCTGGCTGGCTAAGCCCGTGGCAGGGTAGGAGCTGGGGCTCTTGTGTTTGGGTCAAGAGAAGCTTGAGTTGCCCCGGTAGGGTGGCCAGGCTGCGCAGGCACCACCTCCTCTCGTCTGGGCTGCGGTGGGTAAGAGAGTGGGGGAGTGCGGAGGGGCCCAGGGAGGCCCAGCGGCAAGTAGACCTGTGGTCCTAGGCTAGTTGTGGCCAGTTCCTACGCCCCAGGGACGGGACAGATGCTCAGCCTTGCAGCTTTACCTGTGCAGCTGCTGCAGCTTGCCCTGGGGATAAGGCCTTGGAAGTGTCATTCCTCTGAAAAGTGGGGGTACATCCCCCATGGCACACTCATGTCCGGTCAGAGATTCAGTGGGGCACTCCCTAAGAGGGTCTGATTCTAGCCCAGAGCCTCCTTCACAGCATGGGATCTGTGAAGGTCTGCGGATCGCAACAATCCGCCACCGCTGGAACCACTCCTGCCAGGTGTCCGGTTCAGCTCGGGGGCTCTCCTTTGAGCCTCGACTGCTCTGTGGAAGCAGCACACCCTGCCGTAGCCACCTCTGGAGGAGCTGAGCACTGGGACAAAGGCCCGGTTTTCAATTGGAGGTAGAGGCGACTCCCCGTTTTTCAAGTTGGGAGTAGGGTTTGGAGTCAGGAACTGAGTGCACCCTGTCCACCCGCCCCAGGCAAGAGCTGGCTGCAGCCTGTTGTGAGGCTTTGCTGGAGTCAGGGGGCAGCAGAGGCCCAGTCTTGGTGTATCCAGGAGGCAGGCAAGTGGCCAGTTCCTCACAGTCGGGTCGCAGATAGAGCGGAGCAGGCAGAGCCCCTGTGTGGGGAGAACCAGGATTCTGGAAGGGAGCTTTTGGAAGTGTTTGCCCCTCTGCCCCAGCCTCAGGCTTCTCACCCTTGCCAGCAGGCTCGATGGTCACCTTCTCGCTGCTGTTGCCCCGGCCGGCAGAGGTGACGGCGGCCACCCATAGCAGATACTGCTGACCGCGGTTTAGGTGGGCGATCCGGTAGAAGAGCTGCTCTGGACTCGTCTCGTACTCGCTGGGAGCCTGCGGGGCAGAGGCGAAGAAGCTCTAAGAAGCAGAACTGGGGCCCTCCAGCCTCCGAATCTTCCTCAGTGCCTGGGGCTCAGAGGAGAGGATGGTGGGGTCAGGTGGCAGGCAGGATTCTGTCCTATTTGCCCTTTCCAAGTTTTGGAGATGCAGCGGAGAGTGTGCCCTGGGCTTGGCCCTTGGGAGCTGATGGGCCTGCCTCGTGGTGTTGCTGGGTCAGCCTCAGTTTACCTCTCTGACTGATCCAGGCTCTGGCAACTGTGGCTCAGGACAGGGGGTGTGAGTGATTTAGGTGAGGGATGGGGTAGCCAGGAGAAGGGAGAATGGGGGACAGGGGTTCCCAGGAAAGCCCTGAGGAAAGAGTCTTCAGGAAGAAACCAAATGACTGCCTCTGCCTGATGAAGGTTGGAGACAGGCTCCTGCAGCCTGCCCTGGCTCCCAGTCACCTAGTCCTGCCGTCTAATTACCACTCCTGCATTTTGCAGGCAGCATGCCCACCCGTCCAGGGAGGAGGGGGCGGGAGAGAGAACTATGAAAGCTTTACTGGGCAGCACTTTATTAATGCTTATTAGTGGTATAGATCACCATATATATATTTGTAGGTTATACAAATCTATAAATTTTTTTTAAACAAAATGATAGTTTTGACAAGTTGCCAACAAAACAATATCGGATCCCAGTGGTTTTACCAGTTGCTTTGATGAAAAGATTATGTTGCCTTGGAAACCAGAGGCTCAGATATTGAAATGAATTTGAGAAGGAGCTTTTGATAAGCGCTAGTTTGCAGACCTCCTGTCAGCCTCTTCCCTGGCACGGGCGGGATGGGGCTGACTTTCATTTTATTTTATTTTTTGGTCAGCCGCGGGGAAGGGAGAGGAGGACAGCACCACGGCCCCTTTGAAATCAGAATGGAAGTCCAGGGAGGGGGAGCAGCCCCAGGACAGATGGGGGCCCGAGGCCAGAGGGAGCTAATAATTAGTTATCTCTGCAGTCATGGGATCTCGCGCACACACGGTCACAGGCGCGCACACATGTAGACGCATGCACACACATGCTGAGGAATAGACCTCCAGGCATGTATGGGCACAGAGGGACATTCTTAATGCCCCATAGAGGGGCTGAGAGGCCCAATAACTTATAACAGGAGGAGGCATCCTTTTTGGCCCCAGGCCATCTGCAGGGAAATGTTAGGGGAAAAGGCACAGGCGTCTCTGCAACACACACACGGAGCTCCCTGGCATACTCCTCCTGCCTCCCTCGTGGGGATCTGGCCTTGAATCCAGGAGGTCCGCGGGGAGGGGCAGGTGCAGAGCTACCCTTGAGCCCTGGTGGTTGGGAAGCCTTTTCAGGCCACAGCACTCTGGGACTGGTGTGCGTATCTGTAGTTGATATGTGCTTGAAGTGTGGGGTGGCGTAGTGGCTTCAACACCTGCCTGCCCTTCCCCTGGGCATATGGCCCGTAAGGTTGTCCATGGTTTCTGGACATTCAGTTTTCTCTCTTGTAAACTAGGGAAGTAATACAACTCTGCCCAACCTGTGTGTGACTGAGGCACAAGGAGGGAGGGGTATGCACGTCCTTTGTAAACTAAGACATGTTCTTCGCTGGGCTCATTTTTGGTGACAGTACAGGAACGTACGTGTTTCTATGTACATGTGCATGTGTGGAGAACAGCTGAGTGTATATGCTTGTGTGCATCAGTGTATAACTGAGTATATATTTGTGCCTACACAGGCAGGGAAAGAAATTTTGGTTTCTCTTTGTAGGTATTAGCATCCAACCCAGATCCTGGGTGCTTTCTTTTTAACCTGGAGACCGCATGAGTCTCCTAAAATCATGGTCAAAAGCACACAGCCATATCCCCAAATAAAGTTCCAGTGGATCAAAGGTTTTTAAAAAAGGCAAGCTATGAAAGAAGAAACTATAGGTAAATATTTATCCAGTTTTCTAATCATAAAAATCAAGGCAAAATCATAAATGGAAATGGTTGATAAATTCAGCTTCTGTAAAAAGAAAAACTATGGTACATCAAAAACAGAACTAAAGGCCAGGCGTACTGGCTCACGCCTGTGATTTCAGCACTGTGGGAGGCTGAGGCAGGCAGATCACCTGAGATCAGGAATTTGAGACCAGCCTGACTAACTTGGTGAAATCCCCTCTCTACTATAGTAAATACAAAATTAGCCAGGGGTGGTGGCGCATGCCTATAATCCCAGCTACTTGGGAGGCTGAGGCAGGAGAATTGCTTGAACCTGGGAGGTGGAAGCTGCAGTGAGCTGAGATCATGCCATTGCACTCCCGCCTGGGCAATAAGAGTGAAGCTCTGTCTCAAAAACAAACAACCAAAACCAAAAACCAGAATCAAGGGGCAAGCAATGAATTGGCAGAAACTTGCAACTTATATGACGGAAAATGGCTATTATCCTTAATATGTGAAGAACACTTATAAATCAATAAGAAAAACAGGAGAAACACAAATAGAAATCTGGACAAAGGACGTAAATTGACAATTACCCAAAGAAGAAAAATATAGCCAATAAACATATAAAACCTAACTAGTAACCAAAGAAAGGTACTTTAAAATAAGGCACATTTATAAAAAGCCCATCTAACAAAAATTAAGCAGAACAAAACAGAAAACAAATGTAGGATCAGCATAGGTGCAAAGGACAATGCTGCTGGCCACTACCCCTGCTGGTGGAAACGTACATGGGTGCAAATGCTCTGAAGGGCAATTTGTAAATCTGTATGCAGAACTTTAAGAATATTTACACTCTTCGTGACCCAGGAATTCCTATGGAAATGTACCCTAAGAAAATATTAAAATATGTGCATAAAGACTTCTGTGAAGGATGCTCATTGAAGCGTAATTTATAATGGTGAAAATTTGAAAGACACATTAAACATAGAATAATGGGAGACTGGTTAAATAGATTCTGTAAACAGCCATTCAAGATCATGTTTTAGGTCAGGTGTGGTGGCTCATGCCTGTAATCCCAGCACTTTGGGAGGCCGAGGTGGGCGGATCACTGAGGTCAGGAGTTCAAGACCAGCCTGGCCAGCATGGTGAAACCCTGCCTCTACAAAAATACAAATATTAGCCAGGCGTGATGATGTGTGCCTGTAATCTCAGCTGCCTGAGAGGCTGAGGCAGGAGAATCACTTGAACCCAGGAGGTGGAGGTTACAGCGAGCCGAGATGGTGCCACTGCACTCCAGCCTGGGCGACAGAGCAGGGCTCTGTCACACACACACGAAACAATGTTTTAGAAGAGTATCTGAGGGTGTAGGAAAAGCATCAATAGGCATTCCATGAAAAAAACAGATTGCATTACATTATCTATGATATTATTTTAATTTGGTTTAATGAAGCACCTCAAAACCTGTACTATATATACAGGTCAAAGACTGGAAGACTATATACCAAAACATCACCAGTGTTTGTCTGTAGGAAGTAAGAGTAGAAGTAATTTTTACTTTTCTCTTTATTGTTTTATATGTTTTACAGATTTTCTATAATAAAATTGCATTATTTTTATAATCAGTGAAAAATGTATTATATTGTTAGTAAAATGTCTACCAGGATTCAATGCAGCTGTGGCTGTCCCCAGGGGTAACTCCCCTAGAGTCAAGGTCATACACAGTCTTTTCTGAGGATGCCACAGGTACTGGTTCATCCGCTCCTGCCAGCATGTGTGAGCACACACAGTCTCAGGTATCTGCCTATGACTCCAAGCTCATGCCACGGTTTTGCACTGTCATTGATACACGCGTGTGCCCTCATCCCTCGCACCCTCTCCCAGAGCTGTCTTTCATAAATGAGTTTGTGACTTTGTTTGGAATTTGGAATGTATTTGTGCAAAGTGATCATGTCACATACAGTGGTTAGGTCCCCAGGTACCCAGGACCCTCACTAAGTTCAGTTTTCCCCCAGCCTTTGTCCTCAGTTCCCCTACAGGGCTGAACTGAAGTTCTCATCACATCAGCAGGACTTGTGTGATACTGTCTGATGGGAAATCACAAGACATGAAGAAGATGGAGGGAGGGTCCCAATGTCTCCAGCAGCAGGAGGAGGGGAGGGAACCAGGAGCTCTGTTCTGGAGCCCAGGAGAGGAACCCTGAAGCCTGAGTTAGCGAGGAGGCGTGGCTCCCGGACACCAAGCCCTTGGAAAGACTTCATTATCAGAGGAGGAAATGACTGCAAAAGTCCAAGCTAGAGAATGACTACCCTCTCCCACCAATTAAGGAAAGGAAGCTTGCCCAGTATCTGAGGCTATAGAATTGCCAGGCTGCTACTGATTCATCGTTCATGGAACATGTATTCCATGACCAGAATGTTCCAGGCACAGTGCTTAGCCTCTGGGGCCCAAAGATGAAAAGATGCTGCCCCTGTCCTCGTGGGGGCCTCAGAGACCAGAGTGGAAGACAGATATATGAACAGTGACTGCCTTCAAATGTGTTCAGTGTCTGATGGGGGTGAGGAGCACACCACGGGAGGAACCCATGGGGCAAAGGTGTGGAGGTGTGAAGAGGCACAGTGTTGTCCAGAATTGTGAACAGCTCAGTGTCCTGAGAACCTAGAGAGAGAGTGAGTGTGTGTGTGTGTGTGTGTGTGTGTGTGTGTGTGGCAGAGTCTAGGGGAGACAGGAAAACAGCAGAACACATGGCTGAAAGCATTGCCCGAAAAACACCAAGTGTCTGCACCAATGTGGAGTCCCTGGAACTCTTATCCCCCGTGAGTGGGGGTGTGACTGGCATGAGCACCCAACAATGGCAGGCTGTTCTCAGCGAACACCTGCAGACCCTGTGACCTAGCGCTGCCTCTCGTAGGTGCACACCTGACAGAGACCCAGGCCCATGAGCACCCCGAGACACACACAGGAATGTTCACAGCAGCGCCATTTGAAGAGTTCCAAACTGAAAAGTGCCCCAAAGCCTTCCATCAATGGATACTAATGGCTAGCACACTGGATTAATAATTGTAACGTATGCACACAAAAACTAGACAGAAGAATGAATGAGCTATAACCACACACAACATTGCAAATGAAATTTAGGAATTCAAAATAATGTTGGGTAAAAGAAGCTGGACAAATGGTATGACTCCATTTATACAAAGTACAAAAAGAAGCAGCACTAATCTATGCTACTGAGGTCAGGATGATGGTTACCCGGGAGGAGGGGCAGGCGGGGACTGGAGCGGGGCATGGGGATTCAGGGTGTTGTAATGTCCTGTTCCGTGCTCTGGGCGCTGCTGCTTGGGTGGGTTGTGAAAATTCGCGGAGGTGTACAGTGATGACGTGTGTGCACTTTGCCGCATGTGAGGTAGTGGCTGTGAGGATGGAGAGGAGGGGCTACAGTCAGTGGGCTTCCCCTCTGGTAATAGAACTCTGGCCTCACTGGCGGGGAGCTGGGCCACCTACCACTCAGAGGGTAATTCAGAAAGACCACAGGAAAGCAGAGATTATAGGAGGAGATGATGACACAATTACTGAGCAATTTCAGGGCAGCTTTCCTGGCGGCCAGAAGCTCATCTACAGATCTCAGGCTGATGCCCAGTTGTTGATGGAGGGAGGAGCAGGCCTCCTGCACCTGCTTCTGCTCCTTGCTTCCAGCCCTGGGCATATCTTTCTGAGAGTACTCCTGCCCCTCTAGTGTGCTCCCCTCTGCCACCCACCTCCACTAGACTGGAAGCCCCTTGAGGGCAGGTATCTGCTCCTGCTCCCGTCCCTAGAACAGGCATGCTCTATAGTAGTCATTCAGCAGGACTTTGTGGTTGACTGGCTGGAGATGATGAAAGAAGCAGAGGGAAAAATGCATATGATGGGATATAGGTGCATATCCCCCTGCATCCATCCCCATCCTCCCTTCCCTCTCTGTGGGGCCCCTCCCAGCATCAGTGGAAGGGCAGGGCTAGCCCCCTGCCCTATGTCTGGCCTGGGGGCTGCCCCCTCTGCTCCGAGGGTTAGGGCAGATACTGCAGACTCTCAATTCTCTCCTCTTGCCTGAGCCCAGGCCCTGGCCCAGAGATGCCTGTGCCTTCTCTCAGCTTTCCCCCATCTTTCCTTCTCCCTCAGCTTGCTCCATGTGGAGGCGCTCATGTGGGGCAGAGCTCCAACAGCTCCTCTAAGCCCAGACCAACCGCATTGAAAGACGGTTCATTCCCAGAGGCCACAGACCAGTCTGGGGACCTGCTGGGAGCTTCCTCTGTGAGCCAGAGCAGGAGAGCTGAGGCTGACCTCCCTTCCACCCTGCCTGGTTGGGCATGACCCACCTGACTCAAAGGAGCCTCCAGTGCTTGGGACCATCTTGTGGCCTCTGGAACAGAGGACTGACCCAAGCTGGACACTGAGTAAGGCTTCGGCCACTCTGGGTGGCCAGTCCCCATTCTTATCTATGAATCCAGGCAGAAGCTCAGACACAGGCAGCTTCAGAGTTTGGTCTGGAAGCCAGCTGATCTACAGGGTCCCTTTTCTCTCCTTCCATCCCCTTCAGCATCTGGCCCTGAACTCACTTACCGGCTGCCCAGACCCGGGGCTGGAACAGAAGATGGTGTACTTGCGGATCACCCCGTTGGGCTTGGTAGGGGGGAGCCAAGACACAACCACACTGCTAGCTGATGAAGGGACAGCTTTGATGCCAGCAGGGGGACCTGGAACTGAGCAGGGAGAAGGCCTGGTCAGTGGAGAGAAAGCAGGAGCACAGCCTTTGGGGAAAATGACAGGGTTGGGAGAGGGAGGCAGATCAATCTGGGAGAGCTTCTTGGAGCTGCCATCCTTGAGCTGTGGTTTAGAGGAGGGGGGGTCCGTCCAGCATGGTAAACAGGTAGGAGGAGAAAATGATCATTTTGGAATTGTAACAAAGTCTCTGAAATGGAGGCCCTTGGAGTGCCAGCTTCAGAACTGTTCGGCCAGAACCAAGGACTTACGATAGGCAAAAGAGAAACAGAACCTATGAGGAATTCATCTTGATCCCTCTGACCTTAACCCCTGACCCTCACCCCCTTACTAACTGTAAGCGTGTTTTTAGCGGGAAAACACCCGGCACCTGTCACTTTCCTTTTTGGCCTGTGAGTTTCTCGAAGCTGGGACCACAGCCTGTTTTCTGGCATGAGCCCAGGGCATTGCGCTTGGAGTGCTGGCTGGGCCCTTCCTGGAAGAAAGTCTACCTTAGAAGTGACTAGGAAATCCATCTGAAGTGGACTCCAACTCTTACGGACTCTGATCTCCCCTTGCCCTCCTCTCTGGGCCTCCCTTGCCTAGCTGGGACCCCAGGACTCTGCCTGGGGGCCTGGAAGCTTCCTGTTCTCAGCTCACACTGCCTATTCTCATCTCTCCGTTGTATGGTTGTGTACTTGTTTTCCTTCCAGAAACTTTTATGATCTTTTGAGGACAGTGATAGCATCCTATTCAATTTATTTTACCTCTCTGAGCTTCAGTGTCCCCATTTATAGAATGGATATAAGAACTGTATTAAAAGGTTGTAGTGAGAATTAGTGCTAATTAAAGTACTGGGCAGGCGTGGTGGCTCATGCCTGAAATTCCAGCACTTTGGGAGGCCGAGGCGGGCGGATCCCCTGAGGTCAGGAGTTTGAGACCAGCCTAGTGAAACCTTGTCTCTACAAAAAGTACAAAAATTAGCCGGGCATGGTGGCGTGTGCTTGTAATCCCAGCTACTAGGGAGGCTGAGGCAGGAGAATCACTTGAACCCAGGAGGTGGAAGTTGCAGTGAGCTGAGATCACGCCACTGCACTCCAGCCTGGGCAACAGAGCAAGACTCTGTCTCAAAAATAAAATAAAATAAAATAAAGTAAAATAAAATAAAAGCAGCTAGCACAGTGCCTATTGCATAAGACACTCAATAAATTATAACAATTATTATTTTTGCCTTCTGTCTCTCACCTCTCAGCTGATGGCACCTACCTCAATGTTTTCTTTCCTAGTCAATCACTTGGGGCTAAATAAAATAACTAGATACAGCATCATCATCCTTCTGGGGGCCTGAGTCCAGAACCTGGGAATTGTCCTTGACTCCACCTGTCCTCCCTGCTACACAGCCCTGTGTGTCACTTCTGCTGGATGTCTCTGCAGCTGTGGGGTAAAGGCGTCCATGGATGGCCACTGGGGTAAGTACACTAATTGGAGTGTTCAAATCTCCATGCTTGCACACTTTTTTTCCTATCAGTTATTGAAAGAGGTGTGTCAAAATCTTCCACTGTGGTTGTGAATTTGTCTCTTTCTCCTTGTAATTCATCAGTTTTTGTGTTTATATATCTTGAGGTTATATTATTCAGTACATTCAAATTTAGAATTGCTTTATTTGCCTAGTAAATTGAGTCTTTTATCAGAACAAAGTGTTCCATCTTTATCTCTACTAATTCTTTTTGCCTTAAAGTATAGTATGTCTGACACTAATATTCCAGCTTTCTATTAGACAGTTTGCATGATATGTCTTATTTTTTCCATTCATGTTGAACCTTTCTATACCCTTACGTTTTATACATTTCCTGTAAACAGCACATATTTGGGCATTGGTTTTCACCTACCATCCTGATGGTCATTATCTTTTAGTTGGAGGATTTAGTTAATTTATCTTTAATGCGATTACTGTTATATTTGGGTTTAAATATACCATCTTACTAAATACTTCCTATTTGTCTCATCTATCCTATCCCCATTTTTTCTTTTTCTTTTCTTTTGTGGCTTCTTTTAATTAAGTCAAATAAAAAATATTCTATTTTCCTCCCTCTATTAGCTTGACTATTACACAGTCTTTCACTACTTTTAGTGGTTCCACAATAGATTACAACATGAATCTTTAGTTTACCAAAGTCTAATATCAATGGGCACTTTTCTTCTCAGACAATGCAGTGACCTTAGAGCTTCCATTTACCCTGTCCCAACCTTGCCATTACTGTGTATTTTATTTCACTTTATTTTTATTTTTTTGAGACAGACTCTCACTCTGTTGCCCAGGCTGAAGTGCAGTGATGTGGTCTCGGCTCACTCACTGCAACCTCCGCCTCCCAGGTTCCAGCGATGCTCCTGCCTCAGCCTCCTGAGTAACTGGGACTATGGGTGCCCACCATGATGCCAGGTTAATTTTTGTATTTTTAGTAGAGACAGGGTTTCACCATGTTGGCCAGGCTGGTCTCGAACTCTTGACCTCAAGTGATCCACCCACCTCGGCCTCCCAAAGTGCTGGGATTACACTGAGCCACCCCCATTGTTGTTTATTTTAATTCTATATTATACATCATCATCATCATTGCTGTTTTATGCAGCCAATATTAATTTAGATTTACCCATACATTCACCATTTAATTGCTTTGCCTTTACTTGCTGCATCACTGAGCTTCCTTCTACGATCATTTTCCTTCTAGTTAAAGAATATCCTCTGATACTTCTCTAGGGCAGGTATGTTGGTGATACATTCTCTCAGTTTTTATTTGTCTGAAAATGTCTTTATTTCATCTTCATCATGAAGAATAGTTTTGTTAGGTATAATATCATAGGTTGGTAACTGTTTTCCTTACATATTTTATATATATATAAATAAATCATTGTCCTTTTTTCTGGTTTCCATTGTCTCTGACAAGTTAGCCACAATCTTATTGCTCTTTCTTTGGAGTAATCAGTTTTTTCTCCTCTCGTTGCTTTTAAGATCTCTCTCTGTTTTCTTTATAAGCTTTCATATGATATGCTTAGGTGTGGATTTCTTTTCCTTTTTTTTTTTTTTGACATGGAGTCTCCCTCTGTCACCCAGGCTGGAGTGCAGTGGCACAATCTCGGCTCACTGCAACCTCCGCCTCCTGGGTTCAAGCAATTCTCTGCCTCAGCCTCCCGACTAGCTAGGATTACAGGCACCTGACACCACACCCAGCTATTTTTTTGTATTTTTAGTAGAAACAGCTAATTTTTTGTATTTTTAGTTTCACCATCTTGGCCAGGCTGGTCTTGAACTCCTGACCTCGTGATTCACCCGCCTCAGCCTCCCAAAGTGCGGATTTCTTTAATGTGTGACAATAGAGTCTGTAGAGCTTCTTGAATTTGTGGCTTGATATCTTTCATCTGTTTTGAAACATTTTCAGACATTTTATCTTCTACTTCATTCTCTGTCTCTTCTTCTTTGGGATTTCTTCTCACTGCATCCTCTGTGTCCTTGATACTTGGAATGTGGTCTGTGGATAATTACCAGCATCACCTGGGAGCATGTTAGAAATTCAAAATCTGAGGTTTCACCTGAGACCTGCCAAATCAGGATCTGAATTTTAACACGATCCCCAAGTGATCTGTATACACACTGAAGTTCAATGTTTCTTACCTGCTGTTTTACTTTTCCATCTATTTGTCTTTCTGTGCTACATCTGGATATTTTCTTCTGCCTATATTCCAATTCATGAGTTATATCTTCAACTATGTTTAATGTGTTATTAAACTCATCAACTGAGTTAATTTCAAGTATTAGGGTATTTTCCCCTAGATTTTCCATTTGATAGTTTCCAATTCTCTGAAGTTTTCAATCTTGTCAAACATAATTATCTTTAAGTCCATGTTTGATAAGACCCAAGTCTGAAACCTTTGCAGGTCTGTTGCTCTTATCTGTCTTTTTTTCCCTGCTGGCTTTTGTTAGTGTTGTCCCATTATTTCTTATTGTATTCCAGACACAGCATTTGCAAAATAGTTTGTAGAAATAATTCGTGGCATCTGCTGATGTTATCTTCCTAAAGAGAGGATTCACGTTTGCTCCTGATAGGCACCTGCAATCTGGGCACTAGCAATCTGGGGTAACTTCAATTTCCAGTATTGGGATGATTTGAAGGTGAACTGTCTGCTTTTGGTCCACTTTTACCCTTAGAGTGCCATCCTTCATGGTCTCAACTCTAAGTGAGGGGGATTCACCAGACAGACCCCCACATCCTGGCAGGCCCTGACCTCCAGTTCATGTCTTTCTAGTGCTGTTCAGCTTCTCGGCCACTGCCTCCAGATTCAGCAAATGTCCCTTAGGGAAGGAGCTGCTCCAAATGTCAGGCTCACCTCCGGGGCCTCTGTTTTCCCCTGGATCCCAGCCTAATGATTCTTCACTCTCCTGTAGCTTTCTGATGCCTTCAACAGGTGTTCTGAAAAGTAGTTTGTCCATATTTGCTAGCTGTCCTCAGCAAGAAGAAGCGTGAGTTTAAGTCACCCAATCCACCCTTGCTGGAGGTAGAACTCCTCTGATATGTTTCTCTGAACTTGTCACTGCCATTCATCCTCAGTGCTGCTGCCCTAGTGCATAACTTCCTCGCCTCTACCTCGACAGGTTCTAACCGGTCTCTCTGACACTAGTCCTTATTACCTACCCTTTGCCGGCCATCAACAAGAATTACCTTCCTAAAACGTGGGTCTAGTCATGCCTCTTCCTCAGTTAAAGGTCTTTAAAGTGGTCTAAAATCCAAGTCAACTTTGCACTTGGAGGTCATGTTGCTAGGTTTAATATTCACAGACGGAGGCTGAGGAGTCAGCACTGGAGCTCATTAACTGGGTCCAGCCAAGCCAGCCTGAAATCATACTTGGACTAAGAGATCTGGACTCAGTAAATAAACCTGAATTTATGTTTGCATTTTGTTCTTTTAAATTTCTTTCGCTTTTTTCTAAATTTCCTGATATTGTTTTTCCTTTAGAAAAATTCAAAATCCTGAGGGTGGGGTCATGGTGTCTTCAGATGAGGATATTTGCACAAGCTCCCACACCAGGGCTGGAATTGGACCACAGACCTGTCTGCTTTCCATGCCAACTGAGCAATAACTAATAACTTCCACCTATGAATGGGAGAGCCTGGTGGAGGTGGGGTGGCTGTGGAGGACAGGCAGAGTTGACTGCTACCCTCTGCCATTCCTTCCTGGTTCTTGCAAATAGAACCTCACTTTTGCTTAGGTACCTGTGTTCCTCCACACTTCAGAGACAGCTGTCCCTACTGCCCACACTAGAGGGTATGTTGTGCTTGGGGTAAATTGGCCACGATAATTCAATTTGCTGTTTGGCGACTGGCTTAGCAAGAGGCATGTGGCCCCACTCTGGCCAATGGGAAATGAGGATAAGTCTGTTGAGGGGGTTTCTGGGAAAGTTACTTTGACTCCCAAGAGAGGCATGCCCACAGGAAGAGACTCCCTCTTCTCAGTCTGAACTCTATCTTGTCTGGTGTGATGCCTAGGGCTGCAGCCATCTTGAAATCCTAGCAGGGGCAACTGATATTCAGAGGATGGCAGAGCAGAAGGCTGGGAACCTCTGACTTAACCAACCCTGGAGCTGTCCTACTCAGGACTTCTTGCTGTATGTGATAATAAATGTGCTTATGGCTGAAATCTGTTTTCACTGGCTTTCACAACAAACAGCTTCCTAACAGACACAAGTAGTTTGATGGAAAGGATAAAGTATGTGGAGACAAGAAAGCCTGGATTTGTCCCCTGTTAGTTGAGTGGCATTTGGAAAGTAGCTTTCACTCTGGAGGCCTCGGTTTTCTCCCCTGTAACGTGGAAATAATGCCTCCCTCCCGGGGCTCTTGGGCGGGTTAAGTCATATTATGACTGCTGTTCTGGATGAGACCTCATCCGACACTGGGTTCTTTGTGACCTGGGCTTCCCCTTGGAGGCTCTGATGCCGCTTCCTTTCTTTTCTTTCTTTCTTTCTTTTTTTTTTTTGAGATGGAATCTTGCTCTGTCACCCAGGCTGGAGTGCAGTGCTATGATGTCGGCTCACTGCAACTTCCGCCTCCTAGGTTCAAGTGATTCTCGTGTTTCAGCCTCCCAAGTAGCTGGGATTACAGGTGCCCAACCACACCTGGCTAATTTTTGTATTTTTAGTAAAGACAGAGTTTCCCCATGTTGTCCAGGCTGGTCTCAAACTCCTGACCTCAGGTGATCCACCCTCCCTCGGCTTCCCAAAGTGCTGGGATTACAGGTGTGAGCCACTGCATCTGGCCTGAAGCAATCATTTCCTTGCCAGCACCTTGGTAGCCATAAAGCAACTGCTATTTGCTAGTAGTTGACATTTTAGATGTAGTACTAGTACTTGATGAAGTACCACTCTCCCCATTTTATCATGAGGAAACTGGGGTTCAGGAAGGCTAAGTGACTTCCCCATGAATGCCAGGCTGGGGGTATGCACTTCCGCTGTATTTACCAGCGCCTCTTCCGTGCTGCAGTGCTGCTTCCCGAAGGTCAGGGGCAGTGCTTCTTTGGGCCCGGGCTCCTGCTGTGTATAACCATGTGTGGCTCTGGGCAGAGGGCTGAAGGCTCCTTGCAGGGAAGGGTGATACTCCTAGACCTCTGGGTTCCTCATAGGGCCTTGCCTTGATCAGTTAAACAGGTAGAGGTGCTTATGGCGTAGGCCTTGCATCAGACCAGGGGGCAAGAAGAAGCCTGGGGGCTCCAGGGGCTCATTTCTGGAGGCCAAAAGGTGCCTGAGTGTGGCCCTGAGGCCTCAGATGGGACCAGGCTCTAGATGCCATCTCAGCTTAGTCTCCACACTGGAGCAGGTGGCTCTGCCCGGAGCTGTCCCAGGAGGCCTTGATGGGAGGATTAATGACAGGAAAAGTAGGGCAGGCAGGTTGGTAAATATTGAATTGCTCAGGGCTTAAGGGGAGAGGGGGCCTGCTGTAGGGGGAGAGGGAGGGAAAGCCTGGAGATTAAGCTGAGCTGGGAGCTGGTCCAGTCACCAGGCACTGGGCAACAATGGCAGCTTCTCCACCACCACTCCCAGCCTGAGTCACTCGTTTCAACACATTAAACCCTTCCAGTGCCTTCAGCCAAATTGTTTGGGTAGGATCTAGGCTCTGGGCCTCCATATCCCTTGAAAAAACTAAGGGCGAGTGGGGAGGAAGCCATCATGCCAAGGATGTCTTCTGCTTCTGTGCCTGCTGTGTGCCAGTCGCTTGTCACACCTCTTCTAGTAACAGGGCACCTGGCCCAGAGCGCTCACCTATGAAACAACTAAGTGATAGAGCTGGGACTGGGAGGGGAAGAAAGTGGCAGGGCTGGAGGCAGAAGCCCAGAGCCCACCTCTATGGGGTGACCACGAAGTCCATAACCCGGGATGTGCTGAGCGATGCTCCTGCTCCCCCCCAGCCCCAACATCTGTATCCAGAGGAAAGCAGGCTGAACGCGTCAGGGGAGCAGATGCCACAGAGAGAATGCCCTTGGGGTAGGGGGAGAGGGTTTCTCTGGCCTCTGATTCAATGCTTCAGAAAGCAGGTGTGTGTGGGGAGGCGGGGGGAGGTGCAGGGAGGTTCACGTTGCTTATCTGCTCATGCATGAATCCGAGAGCATTTCCCCAGAGTCCTCAAGGCCACCCTCCAATGGCTCAAAGGGCAGGAGAAAGGACAGTACCCTGCTCTCACCCTGCCTCCTGGGGTGGGGTTGGGGGTGAGCAGTGGGCAGCAGGACCAGCCTGTCCCAAGGACAGGCCTGGACTCACCGTCCTCCTTGGTCTGGATGTAGAGCACGCTGCTGCGCACGCCGTCCCCAGCCTGGGTGTAGGCCAGCACCTGGACGCTGTAGTTGGTGAACTTCTCCATGCCCCGCAGCTCCACCCGCTCCCGTGTGGTGGTGATATTCTGCATCTCGCCCCACTCTGCCAGAGACCAGCAAACTCTGAGGGCCCAGCTCCATCAGGCTGTGGCCCCTGCTCCTACCCCTGTTGCCTGGGCTCTGCTCACACCTACTGCGCAGGCTCAGCCCTCCACTCCATGGAGGTGAGGACTAGAGGGTTTTTCACCCTGAGGTACCCAGGAGCAGATGCGGGCCACTGCCCCTAGGCCCCGTCTCTCTAAGGGCCCGGTGAGGGCAAGCCACAGATGCTGGCCTGGACCCGGCCTCAGTTGACTTTGCACCAATTTCACCTTGACATGCTCTTTAAAACGCCTCACTCTCCATCTCTCCAAGCAACATTTCTCCCTCCCGCTACCCAACTCCCTTCCCATGGGAGAGCCTGGAGTGGCTTGGACATGGGTGGAGGAGGTCCCGTCCAGGAGGCACAGCTCAGCAGCCACTCCTCCTGCTGCCCAGCCCGCCTTGGGCCGCCATACCTCCCTGGGTGGTTATCGACCTGAGGATGACGTGTGACAGGCTGAGGCTGCCTCTCCTGCCTCTGACTACTCCTGGGCCAGCACCCTGGACTCCCAGCTGGGTTAAGGGGTTGAGTGACCCGTCTGCCTTCTCCCCACCGTTGGAGACACCCAGCCATTCCCTGCATAGAAAGCCTGGGTGAGGCTGGTGGAGCCGATAGCCTCAGCCAGGAAGAGCTGGGACACTCCTGAGGCTTATGGAGGACCCAACATCCTGGCCCTGCAAGGACCTTCTCATAGACTCTAAAGAGGAGCTTAGGGAGATGGTCCCACGAGGGCCAGAGTTGTAAGAGGAGGAAAAGGGACAGACTCTGGAGCCTCCCACTAGGACTGCTGGGCTTTCAGAAAGACAGGTCCAGTAACGGGCTGAGGACCAGCCTCACAGACATGAGTTCCTGGAGACCCCCCTTCCAGCACCTCATGGATGGTCCAGGGCAGGCAAAAGGCCAAGGAAGAGGGCCTGGCCAGGGAAAGCAGTGCTGCCAGGATCCAGAGGATGAGAAGGCTGTGCCCAGCGTGAGAAGACTCCAGGTCAGTGCAGGAGGACCCCCAGAGGCCGGAGCAGCAGGGCCTTCCTCTCCTGGAGTCAAAAACCAGGCTGGCCTGTCCAGGACTGGAGCCAGAGAAAGGGCAGGAAGAGGGCAGCGTGGTCAAGTGTCCAGCTGGTCTTTGGGGATTGCCGAGGCCAATACAGTCCTTAGGGGTTACGCTGGAGAAGCCCACAGGCTTGGAAAAGAGGAAGCGAGTTCTGGAAAACAGGGAACCACCCTTTACCTGGTTCCACACGAATATGAATGTAGTGAGGTCACATTGTGAGCAGCGTGGCCTGGCACTGCACAGCAAAAGAACTGGGGAGACCTTCAGGGAACTCAACCTGAGCTAGAGCCCTCTGCTTTTTGTGGGAGAGAGTGGAAGTGCCGGTGGGGAAAGATGCTTCCTACTGACAGTGTGTCTGGGCAGAGCGGAATCTGGATGGGAGAGGGGACCATAGTAGTGCTGGACAAATGACTGTGAGCTGGATTCCAAGGTCCGCCAGGAAAGAAGAGAGGGCCCAGGGGGCTGGGAGGCAGAAAGTGCAGGAGCCAGATTGGGGGCAAACTCATTTTAGTCCTTTGTGGTCTATTGAGATGACTAAGGCCTTCAGTGGAATGTTTCCATAATTTGGGACGCTGGTCCTCTGACCTGTGTGAGCTACAAGCCTCCAGGTCGCATGAAGGTCTGTGTACACCAGTGGCGGGAGCTTGGTGTGCCTGTAGGATGCTACTCAAACCTGTTTGCACGTTCCAGGGCGAGGAAGACATTCAGAAGTTTGGGCCATCTTACTGGTTTCTCTCCATTTGCCATTCCTACCCCCCAGCTCCACTGTGCGCACCTCTCTGCCCTTCTCTGGGTCCTGGGCGGCTTGTTTGCACAGAAAACACGCCTTGCTGCATGCCTGGCTCCAGTTGGGTTTGGCCAAGGGAGGCTGTCCCTGGGTTCTGGTAGCTCTGCTTCCTCCCTTTCCCCCTTGGCCTTAGGTGCTGCTGGCTTCCTGCTGATGCTCATCCCAGGTGCCCACCTCCCTCCTCAGTCCCTTCATTAAATTCTTTGATTGCCCCGTTTGAATGTATCGACTATTCCCCGCTGGTATCTGACTCACACAGCCATAAAGGCCTATTATCAACATGTGAAACTAGAAAAGCTGATCTGCCCCTTTCATGCCCCCAATACTTCCCCAAACACACACTGTTGTCTGGGAGTAGCTGGGTGTCTCCTTCCTACCCCTCACCAGAGATGCCACCCTGTGTACCACCAACCCCCTTGCCCCGCCTCTGACCTCAGTTGAACACGGAGGTGTGCAAGTGAATCCCGAGCCCCTTCACTATCCCCTGGTCCCTATAGCCGTTATCGTCCTCTTGCGGCCTCCCTGTGTGGAGAAGAGGGGGCTGCACTTCCCCTTGCCATGCTGTGGGAGGATGCTTAGCTCTAACTACACCTGGGAGCAGACCCCACTGACCCTGCGCCTCTCCCCTGAGGCCCAGCCATCATCCCAGCAGACTCACCCCCATCCACGTAGAGGGACCAGAAGATGACCCGATAGCCTTTGAGGACGCCATTGAGGGTGCTGCGCGGGGGCTCCGACCAGGAGATGACGGCCACGTCAGAAGTGATGGACAGGGCCCGGACGTTCTCAGGGGGCTGGCTGGGCACTGCAGGGGGTCGGGGGAGAACCAAGGGTCCAGTCAGTCGTGGGTGTGAGTGACAGTACAGCAATTATGTCCCAGGCTGGATTCCATGGTCCAACCAGAGGAGCGTCCGGTTAGACAAGTGGAGGGACCTCCTGACTCGCGGGTGCTGAGAGTGAGAGTTGGGGCAGGGAGGCCAGGAAGTGAACCGAGTTTCCTTTCCTGGAGATTGGGGCAGACAGAAATCTTTACAGACTTGGCTCCTTGTTCTCCGGGTAGCACATTCCTGGTTGTGGTTAAATCCTGGGGAAGAAGGTGATGAACTCTGGGCATGAGCCCCTGGGAATTCCCCAGTGGGCCACCACAGCCCAGGGAAATCCTGCTGTGATGAACGTGACAGACCCGGAAGGCCACCAAGCCAGCCCTGGAGGTGTCTGCAATGCATCATCTCATCTGACGGCTGCCAGCCCCTCTGTGTCGTCTGACCAGGGGTCTGGGCCAAGGCCTGGTTCTAGGGACTCCTGTGTCCTTGTTCCAAGCTGAAGGGAAGGCAAAGAAGGGAAAAGGACTTCAGCTAACCCTGGTGCAGAAGAGGAGCTTCCACTGGGACCTCGGGACCTCTGGGACCATTAAACCTTCGCTCATGCCCTTGTACTCGAGCACACTAAAAGGCCTGGATGATGGGAAAACACTCTGAGACCAGCTTATGTGCTTCTCCTGCCGGTCACGCTGTCCCTCTGAGAGCCACCTTTGAGTTTAAGCTGAGGCTCACCCTGGGGCGCTGTGCAGCCTGCCCCTCCTGAGACGACAGGCCTCCGAAACCCTATCCCCCGGGATCCACCTCAGCTTGGGGGAACTCCGGTGGCACTTCCTGCTGGCATCCGAGGGCCAGGACAAAGCGCAAGACGGAGTCTGCTTTGCTCCGAGTGGGAGAAAGGAGGCACAGACTGGCTGGAAGGTAATTAGATCCCATTGCCCCACAAGAGGCAACTCTAATTTTTATGAGCATTTAAATGATAATACATCATCCTAACGATCCTCTTTGAGAATGATTATTGTTTCATATTACTTAGGTGTAAAAATATAAGCACCATGTAATTAGGGACCCAGTGTAATAAACTAATACAGATCGTCCGTTCGAACAAAATGAAGGTAATATAATTATGGAAAAGACACTATTGCTAAAGCAGGGGCCCTTGAATACCCCAGGAGGAGTGCTAATATTGCCAGGAAACGATCAGGATCTGACAGGCTAACGAGGGCCTTAATTAAGTATGAAAAACTGCTGAGCAAATGCTGCTGGAAACTTTCTTCTCCCCTCTCCCCCTTTGTTTTGAAAATGACTCCATAGCCCATGCTGATCTCTCCCTGTTGGAAATTCCAGGGGCCCCCACGAGGCAAGGGAGGTGGTGTTTGGACAGAGGCCAGAGGTGGGCCTGGCGGTGCATGGGAGCTTAGCGTTCGGTGGGGCAGGCTGGCCTCAGCTTGGGACGGCTGTTCCCTGGACACACCTTCCTAAAGTCTCCTGCATCTGCATCGCTTGTTCCTGCATCCAGCCTTGCTCCCAAGCAAAAGGGAGGCACAAGGTGAAGCAGGAAGGGTATGGATGGGATTCAGAGATTTTGATCCAGACTCTGTTATTTTCTGGATAGATGGTTCTGGATGAGTTAATCTCCTTGAGCCTTGGCCTCCCTGCATAGATAATGGTGCGACTCTTGGTGCTATGATTCCCAAAGGTGCTCCCTGGACAAGCAGCATTGCCTGCGAACTTATTCGACATAATGCGTCCTTTTTTTTTTTTTTTTTTTTTTAAGAGATGGGGTCTTACTGTATTACCCAGGCTGGACACCTGGCTTAGAAATGAACATTCTTGGCGCCCACCTCAGACCTGCTGAAGCAGAAGCTCTGGGGGGTGGAGCCCAGCAACCTGCATTTCCCAGACCTCCAGGAGGCTCTGCTTTGTGCTCAGGGCTGAGAACCACGTGTTAGGCCACTGCTCAAATGAACACTCTTGGCACTAAGAGGAGACAAGCTGATCTTCCTCAATCCGGCCAGGCCCGAGGCCAGCATCTCAGGGTGGGAGGGATGGAGAGGGATAGCGAGGGCCATGGGCTGAGGGTTTGGTTGCAGTGCGGCTCTCCTCCCTCCCACTGGACCTCTCTGCCATGTGCCTCTTTCCTTCATTCAGTTCTTCCCTCTTCTCAGGTGCTCAGTGCTCTGGGGCTATTGAAGTCGGCCCCATCTGAAAGCCCAGCTTTTGCCCTAGAATCATGAAATGAGAATCTCTGGGGTTGAAGCCTGGCATCAGTATTTTGAAAGTTCCCCAGATAATGCCAACTGGTGGCCATGTTGGGAACCATTGGTACGAGCGTATCTACTGTCAGGTGTTTCTGACCTAATGTGTCCCCCATCCCCTGGGTGCTGCATTTTCAGAGAGGGCGAGGTAGGCGGAGGGCATTGCTTCCTGTAAAGGAATGGCTCTCTAGTGGTGAAATGCTTGGTCTTCTGATGGGAATGGGGAAAGGGCATTCTGCCCTCTGGACTATTGGTTTTGCTCTGTTGGGGCGGGGTGGGCAGGCTCTGACTCAGCGGGGCTTTAGTCTCAGACCCTAGTTTTGGGTTGGGGCATCAAGAAGGAAGATTGGAAGAATGCTCTGCTTCTTCTTTATTCTACTCTTTAGGGGACAGAGGTCAGCCTGGCCCCGTCTCTGGGAGCATCAAGGGCCATGTCCTTTTTCTCAACCTGGTGCAGGCTCAGGTACCAGCTGGCATCTTCTCTGTGCTTGGAGAGTGGGCATGTTCCTACTGCCTCCTAACCCTCTCCTCCTGGAGAGACAGGGCCCTTTGATGTACTAATCAGAGTGTGGGGTTCTCTCTAGTCATCGAAGAATGAAGACTTAAAAAGCTGGACTCTAAATCCTCTGCTGCATACACGTTAGGATCTCTTAACTCCTCAGCTTCATCTCAGGTAGATGGTGGACAGGTTCCAGGCTAGAACACAAAGGCAATTTGGCTCCTGCCCTTTTTCCAAGAAGTTGTAAAAGAGGAGAAATAGGACCAGGTGTAGAGGGAAGAGAGAGGGGTTAGGGTGCCAGGAGGAAGGAGGAAGGCCGAGGGAGAAGCGTGAATGGGGAGACAGGCGGACAGGCAAATTCTCAGACAGGCCAACAGGTCGACAGAGACCGGATGAGTAGAGCATCAGTCAAAAGGAAGGAGAGGCCCAATATGCTGAATGGCCCATGCATCCCTCAAGGAGCCAGTGGACAAGAGGAAATGGCTGGGATGCAGGGAGCCTGTGTGGAACACAGGACCAAGATGGGGCCCAGGGGCAAATGGAGGGACCCACAAGCCCTCTCTGGCAGCTGTGGCTCTGCCCATGTTGGGGATCTGTGCCCACTCCCCTCTGCTTGGGCCCTCACCGTCCTCCAGAGTGGTGGCATTGATCTCGCTGGATGAGGGCCCCGTGCCAGCCCGATTGAAGGCCTGGACCACCACCCCATACTGGGCGAACTTCTTGAGGTTGTCCAGGGTGTAGACCTCGCTGTCCCCCGTGGCCTTCATCTCCACGATGCTGTACTGCCCGTTGCTGCCGGGGCTATTCTCTCTGTAGCCGATCTGGTAGCCCCGGATGACACCGTTCTGCAGCTCCTTCTTGGGTGCCTGTGAGCATGGGGAAGGGGTGGGGACAAAGAAATGGGACACTCTAAGATGATGCTCTTAAAACCAAAGTCAGATCATGTCACTCCTCTGCCCCAGCCCTTCAAAGGCTCCTGTCTCACTCAGAATGAAAGCCAAAGTCCTTACAATGGCTGCACCGCTCTGTGTGACCTATGACCTCCCATTACCTCTCAGATCCCCTCCTGTGCCCCTCGCTTCCTGCGCCCCAGCACTCTGGCCTCTTTGGCCACATCCCCATCTCAGGGGAAACACTTCTGTCCTCTGCCGCGTCCTTGCTGAAATGCCTCTTCTGAATGAGGCCTTCCTTAGCTCCTTATGTAAGACAGCTCCCTGCCTGTCTCTGGCACTCTTTATTTTTCTTCCTGGTTTATTTTCCTCCACAGCACATAGCATCATCTGACAGTCTATAAATTCCACTTATGCATTAGTGAAATCTGCCTGTCTGCCCGCATTAGAACGGAAGCACTGTGAGGACGAGGAGTGTTACCTGCTTTGTTACTATTGCACTCTCCGTGTCTAGAATGGTGCCTAGCATACGATGGGCCCTCAATACATACTGAACGAATGAACGAATGAATGAATGAATAGGAATATCATTTGGCATGGGTTCAGGGGCCTGGGGAAAATAGAACAGCAGACAAAAAGTAATCAGATGGAGAGGGAGGTGAGCAATTAGTTTGAATAAAAAGAAAGAGTCCCGAGATACCACTTCACATCCATTAGGATGGCTCTTATAACAATAATGGAAAATAAGTGGTAGTGAGGATGGAGAAATGGGAACCCTGTACATTCCTGGTGGGAATGGAAAGAGGCGCAGTGACCGTGGAAAAGAGTTTGGCAGTTCCTCAAAAACTTAAACATAGAATTACCATACCACCCAGCAATTCCTTTCCTAGGGTTTATGCCCCAAATAATTGAAAACAGGGATTCAGAGAGATACTTGTACACTCATGTTCAACGCAGCATTATCCAGAATGGCCAGAAGGTGGAAGTAACTGAAGCGTTCACCAGGAGATGAGTGGAGACGCAGAATACAATATTGCAATACAATGGGGTAGTACGCAGCCATGAAAGAGAGAGAGCACTACCATCTGTCACAACACGGATGAACCTGAAGACACTGCACTAAAAGAAATAGGCCAGACCCAAAAGGACAAAAACTACTGTCCAATTCCACTTAGGAGGTACTTAGAATAGTCAAAATCAGAGAGAAGGAAATAGGCTGGGAGCGGTGGCTCACGCCTGTAATCCCAGCACTTTGGGAGGTTGAGGTGGGTGGATCAACTGAGGTCAGAAGTTGGAGACCAGTCTGGCCAACACGGTGAAACCCCATCTCTACTAAAAATACAAACAATTAGCTGGGTTTGGTAGCACATGCCTGTAGTTCCAGCTACTCAGGAGGCTGAGGCAGGAGAATCGCTTGAACCGGGGAAGCGGAGGTTGCAGTGAGCCAAGATTGACAGAGCGAGACTCTGTCTCAACAAAAGAGGGGTGGAATAGAGCTTTCATGGGGAGCTCATGTTTCGTGGGTACAGAATTTCAGTTGGAGAGGATGAAAAAGTTCTGGAAGTGCTAGTGGTGATGGTTGTACAACGTTGTGAACGTGCATTGAACTGCACACTTAAACATGGTTCAAATGATAAATTTAAGTTATATGTATTTCATTAAAACTAAAGAAAAAAAGATCCCTGACTTTCACCTGGGTGCAGCCCCTGTGGGAACACTAAGACTGCATTGCCTCAGACACCACGGTCAGGGACTGGGGAATGGTGAAGGCTGAGGCCCCGAATGAACCCTGGATGGAGGCACAGAGATGGCAAGGACTTGAAGGTTAGAAGGGGGCTGGTGGGAATGAAGACTGAGCCCAGTCAGCCAGGAGAATGGAGAAACTCCACTGGCATCAGTCTGGGGCTGGAAAACACTCTCACCCCAGGCTCGAACCCTGATACACACCCAACCAGGTGCGCACGCACACACACACCTCAATATATCCATTCACACCCAGAACCAGGAGCACGTATCCAGACCCATCAAAGCAAACATCTTAGTCCACACCCCCACTCCCCACCAGATACATTTAGATCCACGAATAGAAATTGGCTCCTTTAATGACCGGGCCTGCCCATCTATAAATTGAGACAGAACACCCACCCCAAGTGCATTTAAAAACAGCTTGAATCAGGGTTTTAAAGACAATGAAGTTAATTTAAAAGCCCACCTTTTATTGTACTAAAAAATAGTGAGATCAAAAACAATTAAGTTAGTAAAACAGCCCTACTGTTTTTTTTCTAGTCAATGAATGTTTTAAATGAACTGCATTTTAAAGCTCACTGTTAACTCAACAAAATGAAGTTTTAAATTTAACATAATTGTTTTGAACTCACTAAATAGGTGTGTGTCTGTGTGTGTGTGTTTAATTGACTTGATTCTTTGTTGCTGCTTCAATATTTCTCTCTGCACTTGGACAGTCCTGCTTGCTGGTCTGCAAGTGGACACATTTTTACATTTGGGTCTTGTATCTACACATGTATGTCTATGCACATGTGCACACACACACACACACACACATCCTTTATGGATATAAATGTATCTTCACATCAACACCCATTCTCACATTTCATGTAGGTATATCTATACTGACACACATTGAACATCATTATACTATGCCACAGATTGCCTACATGCCCAGAGCTATGTATACCATGATATATACCTGCATACGTGGCCACATCAGCATATACTGACAGGCCTCAGACAGGCATGCAGGCGCACCCCAATCCATCCATCTAGATAGATTCACATATTTATACAAATCTTCACAGATCCTTCCTCCCTCCTTCCTCTCTCTTTTTTTCTCTCCTTCTCCATCTCTTCTCTCTTTCTCTGTCCCCCGCCTCTCCAAAGAGCCACAGTCAGGATTTAAATCAATCTTAACAATATTTCTCTGGCATTAAGAAATCAATAGGGCTGATTGCAAATTTATGTCATAAAGCAGGGGCGATCCATCTCGTGGAAAGGGCCTTAAAATGAAGTGACTTATCTTCAAGTGAATCTTTATTTTTCATTAATCTGTTTCTCAATGTTAAAAAAAAATCCCCTGAGAAGTCAGTCCAAAATTTATTGACCATCTGGTTCATTCTGAAGTTCTAACTTTCTAATCAATTTTATTTTTCATTATGAGACTTTGGAGAAATAAATCTGATTCCAAATTTTTATCGACCTGTGGGTCAGAGCTTTGTAGCCCAACGTTTCAGTATTTTACATATTTATTCATCCCTGCCCCCACCTCCTGGCTGCCTTGGAGTATTTCTAGGATACAGGTCCACAGCCAGGACACAGCCAAGAGTTTGGGATTGGATGCCAGGCCTCACCCCAATTTCTGAGGAGAGCCCTGGAACCCAGAGCTGAATCTAGAGAGGAACCCTGGCTCCAGATATCCACTAGGTGGGCTGCCTCCAGGAAGGACCAACCGCCCAGTCCTACCTCACTTTCTTCTTGGTCATGCCTCTGGGAGGGAAGGAACCGGGCTGCTGCTATGTGTGTGAGTGTGAGTGTGTGTGCACATGGTCTTAGGAAAAATATCACCAGGTCCTTCTGAATCCCTCTCATTCTCAAGTCTACCTTTCTAAAGAGCCCAGAAGAAGGACTTAAGCACCTGGGCTTTTCCTATAAGGAGAAGAGTCAGAAAGTCACCACGGATAACTGGTCCCTGATGAAGACAGGCAGCCCCCGAGCCCCACTGTTAAGATGGGAAAGCTCCAGGAAGAACACAGACAGCCCTGAGAATGCTCTCTGATCCACAGCCCTGTGCAGTGGCTGTGGAGGGAAGGCTGACTGGGGCTGCAGACACTGTGTTGCAGTCCGAGCTCTGTCTCTGCTAGGCAGACCATCTCTCATCTTGTCTCCATGGCGTCCTCTGGTGGAAGGGGATAAAAGTGCCTTCTCTCGCTGCTCCCCAGGAATGAGGAGAGGGTCAGATAAGTTGGTAAAGAGAAAGCACTTGGAGACTGGAGGATGTAGTGAGACAGGAAGTCCCTGGATTGCCAGCCCTTCTGTGCCCCTGGAGGGGTTTGGTGGTAGGGCCAGAAGCTGCTCAGGGAAGCATTTCTGAGTCCTGCGCAAGGTCATTCTGTTCTGTTTCCCTGCCCAGCTGTGGAATCTCCCCTAAGATTTTCTTTAAGTGACAGATGCTTCAGTCACCCCCTCTATATTTTACAGGTCTTTGCCCTTAGAAATGGCTGTAGCACATACTGGTCTCTTTTCTCCACAGTTCCTCCACCCTCAGAGGTAGGGAGGGCAGTTACTTTCATCCTGATGTTAGAGACGAGGAACTTGGCATAGAATCAAATCTACTTCCAACCTTATTACAACATGTGGGGTTTGGAGGATGGGCCAGCACGGCTGAGGAACCATCTTCCTTCCTTGGCACTGCAAGTTTTTCATTCCACCCCAGGCAGAGACTCCCATCAGAGAACCAGGGAGGAGAGGGAAGTGGGGGTTATTGGGCCGGGGGAACCTGCCCTTTGCCTCCCTCTCCTTCTACCCCTCAAATCTCACTAGGTTTAGTGACAAAACAGGCCTGAGCATCACATAAGACTACAGACTAGCAAGCCTGCTGGGAGCTTCCGTCCTGGATTGAGGAGAGAGGAGGCAAGAGGGCATTCCAGGGGAGATACCTTAGACACACTTACCTTCCAGGTCACCTGGATGCTCTGTGAAGTCACTGGTTGCAAGGTAACGTCCATGGGGGGCCCATCAGGAGCTGAGCAGGGTAGGGGGGAGGAGAAACATTACAAGTCAAGACCTGGAAGAGGAAGGGGTTTATGTTCCCACACCCATTCTCCTGAGCAGGAGGGCTCCTGGGGAGAAGACTAAGCGCAGATGCAGATAGCAGAGAACTTTTGTTTGAGTTCCCCCAAAAGTATCTAGGGTTTCAATTTCCTCTTCATTCTCCATAATTTGCTGAAAATATAGCAAACAATGATAATAAGATACTACTGTACATGCAGTAGGATGGCAAAAGTTTTTAAAAGTTGAAGAGTATGAAGTGTCTACTTCATACAAGAATGTCTAGTGGCAGGAACTCTTATCCTCTGATCATGGGAGAGAAAATTGGTACAACACTTTAGAAAACATTCTAGCATTTTTTGTTAAGGGTAGAAGTATTTCCCTGTTTGATGACTCTGTAATTCTACAGCTGTTTATATCCCCTAGAGAAACTCATGAACCGGTACACTAGCATACAAGAATGCTTATAGCAGCATTTTTGTAATAGCTCCAAGCTACAAACAACCTAAATGTCCATCTACAGTAGAATGGACAAACCCACTGTGGTATAGTCATATAATGGAATACTATACAGCACTGAAAAAGCATAGCTATGCTAATGATATGAATGAAGCTTGCAAAAGTAATATTGATCAAAACAAGCAAGATACAGAAGAATATATGAAGTATGATGTCATGAATACATTCTACTGGAAAATAGGGAAAACTAAATTATACATTTTATTGCATATACACTGTGGTAACAGTACAAAAAAGAAAAGCATGAAAATTAGTATCATGAAAGTCAGGATACTGATTACTTCAAGGGGAGGGGTGGTGTTATGACCAGAAAGGGGTACATGGGGGACTTCCGGCATGCTGGCTAATTGATAATGAGCGTTGGTTATACTAATTACTCACTGTTTACCTTATGCTTGTTTATAAAACTGCACATATATGTTATGTGTATTTTTCTGCATTTTTTTTTTTGAGATGGAGTCTTGCTCTGTTGCCCAGGCTGGAGTGCAGTGGTGTGATCTTGGCTCACTGCAACCTCTGCCTCCCAGGTTCAAGCGAGTCTCCTGCCTCAGCCTCCTGAGTAGCTGGAACTACAGGCATGCGTCACCACGCCTGGCTAATTTTTGTATTTTTAGTAGAGACAGGGTTTTGCCAAGTTGGCCAGGCTGGTCTCATACTCCTGACCTCAGGTGATCCAACCACCTTGGCCTCCCAAAGTGGTGGAATTACAGGCATAAGCCACAGCTCCCCGGCCTTCTCTGCATTATTTTGTATTATATGATAATAAAAGAAAACAGAGCAAGAGAAATCTTGTTTAAACTTTCAAGAAAACTCTATGATGACGGTCATAGAAAATGATCCAGGCCCTAGTACCCCATCTTTTGCAGATGGATCTTTCCAGATGCTGGGGCCAGGGGAGTGGGGCAGAACCACAGATAGCTCCCCCAAACCCAGCATTTAGAACCTAGCCTGGAAAAGGGTCAAACGGAAGAGCCTCCGATGATTCAGAGGTGGACACAAACATCTGTTAGGATGCTTTTCCCCACTCCACCCTCTCTAACTGCAAGCTCATTGCCAATGAACAGGATCGCTGTAGGCCCCTGGTGTCCCTGATCCCTGAGGCCATGGGCAGGGCAGGCTGGGCGAGGTGCTCACCGGCCTCCTCGGTGCTGATGGTGAGTTCCTTGCTCGGTTCACTGCGGCCAATCTTGTTGAAGGAGTACATGCGGATGCTGTACACGGATGCTGGGTGCAAGTCCACAATGTTGGCCTGGTTGATGGTGGGGGAGATGTTGCGTGTGGACTGCTTGAAGTCCCAGGAATCTGGAGAGAAGGCACCTATGTCAAAGCACAGCCAGGCAAACTCCAGGACCCCTTCCCAGCCTGAAGTTCCAGCACAGCCCAATCTTAATTTGGATGCCCCGAGGGGTCCAGCTCACACAGACTGCAGAGAGGGCACAGGCCTGAACAACTTCACAGAGGGTGCAAGGGGTCTGTCCCATGCAGCTCCAGCTTGGGAGAAGCCTGACTCTCCTTTGCCACTGGCCAGCCTGTAAGCTCAAACTTCAGGCAGAGGTCAGACGAGACGTTCCCCAAGGTCCCTGCCAAGATCACCATCTGCTTGCTATCCCTGAGGGTCTGACTGACCAGTGCCCTTCTTCCTGGGTCTCTCCTCACATCGGTGACCTGGTCTAATGGTGACACCCCCTATTTACCCAGTGGCCCCCATGTGAAGCAGGAGGCTAAGTCTCCTCTCCCTTTCTCCTCCTCTTGTGTGTGCTTCTGTATTTCTTTTCCTTGTGCACTTGTGAGGTGATGAACTTGAGTGTTATACGTTGGGGTTGAGGGGGACAGGCCAAGTACCAGAGTCCCCAGCCCAAACCCTACCCTCTTTCCTTCATCAACAGGGGGATGGTTTCTGAGTCATTAGGGTTAGGGGCCGCCAAAGAGATTAACATGTTCACGATTTATCCAGGGAGACTGGTAGTCTATCTCAGGGCTGATGTTTAGCAAAATTGTAGGAAGTAGAAAATACCAGATAAATGCCATTCAGGTGTGACTAAACAGTGTCTAGACCGATACTGTGACGATGAACACCCTGCATCTCCAGAGGAATCCAGTCATTTGTTCAATATATGTTTGCTGCGCACCTATTAGGGGTCTCCAGAGGAAATGGAAGGGGTTGCAATTAAAAATGCCTCAGCTAGGACTTTCCACACCCGGGATTCTTAACCAAATAACTGTTTTTGCACCTTACTTTGAAAAGAAAAAAAGGCAAAGCACAAGGAAACAAGCTGACAGCAGGGCTGAAAAATGTTCCCAGGGCAAGTCCAGATGTCACTATTCCGTCTAATTTTCTATGCCTTTAAATCCACAGAAGAGTATCATGAAAAATTCTCCATAGAAAAGATTAAGTTGTATTCACCACAGTTTAAATTCTAAATCAGGAAAGGAGGCTAGCACATTCTAGAAAGACTAAAAAAAGTTTTTTTGGTTAAAACTAATGCCTGATAGGCCAGGCGCAGTGGCTGATGCCTGTAATCCCAGCACTTTGGGAGGCCGAGGCGGGTGGATCATTTGAGGTCAGGAGTTTGAGACCAGCTGGGACAATATGGTGAAACCCTGTCTCTCCTAAAAGTACAAAAATTAGCTGGGCATGGTGGTGGGTGTCTGTAGTCCCAGCTACTCAGGAGGCTGAGACAGGAGAATTGCTTGAATCCGGGAGGCGGAGGTTGCAGTGAGCCGAGATCGTGCCACTATACTCTACCCTGGGCAACAGAACAAGACTCCATCTCAAAAATGAAAAACAACAACAACAACAAAACAAAACAAAACAAAAAAATCTAATGCCTGATAAATCAGGAGAACTGGTTCACCAGAAGACACTGTCCCAGGCCCCCAATTTCTGGTTAGTTGAGATCTTGATGGTTTGCATAACACCACTTATAGCTGCTCAGGCTTAGCATCTGTGAAGGGCACCGGCCCAGCTCCCCATCTGTAGTTTTGCATTTAATTCTTTGGTTTCATGAGCCAAAGAAACAAAATGGCAGGCAGTTGCTGCTCAAAAACTTGTTGTATTTTAAAACACCCTAACTACAGGAGGGTCATTTTGTGGCTGGCAGGTTAAGCTGGAATTGCAAATATGCAGGCTCCTACCTGCTGTGGGCACTGGCTTGTGGGTTTGGGACAGAACAGGCTAGTCATGTGGAGGCAGGTGCTCCCTTCTCTCTGTGGCATCCTGGGAGCTGGCACCAGCTCGTAAGTCACATCTGATGTGCCCATGTTTGTAGGAGAGGGAGAGGGAGCACAAGTCAGTGCATTCATTTTTGATGAGTGCAGGCAGAGGGAGGAGACTGGGGCGGTGTGTCTGGAGAAGAGGCGCTAATATTTACTGAGCACCTGTGGTGTGCCAGGTGCAGCATCGGGCAATTTAAATGCTCACCATTTACTCCTCACATCCTCCTGCGGCATAAGTGCTCCATCTCCACAGCAGAGGTGACCCTCGCGGCACCAAACCCAATTTCCCACTTGGTTTCTTGGGTGTGTTCAACACTTGGACCTCTCTTCCTTCAGGAAACACTCTCCCCTTGGCTTCCTAATAAAACACTCTCTGGCCTTTTGCTTATCTCTGGGGCCAGTTTCTCTCTGTCTCTGTGCAGATGCATCCCCCTCTACCCTACCAGGAATGGTTTGAGTTCTTCAAGGCTCCACACGAGGCTTCCTTCTCTCTTGCCATGCACTTTCGCCAACCATGCATTCGATTTTCATCTCTGCACAGATACCTCCCGGATTAATATCCAGCCTGGGCCTCTCCTTCAGACTCCAGACCTTATAGCCAGCTTTTTAGTTGACGGCTTATCTTGGATGTTTCATACATACCTCAAACTCAACCTGTCCAAGACAGAACTCTTGACCATACACCCTGTTTACCCAGCAACTTCCTGGATTCCATCTCGAATGGCACCACCATTATTAATTTCTTCACTCTTCCTTCTCTCTCTCTCCCTATCAAGTGGGATAACTTTTGTGTTCTGGGTCGTTCTTGAATCCTCCCACTTCCCTCCCTCTCCATTGCTACCTCAGGCTCAGCCACCGTCATCCCTCCTTAGACCAGGGAAATGGCCTGTTCCCTAGCCCTCCACGTGCTCAGTGCACCCTGTTTCTTTCATCTGTTCTCCACACTGCAGCCATCATCCACTCTACAAATACAATCGAGCTCCTCTTACAGACGAGCATTCCATCTTGGCCCTGAGAGTGGCCTTCTCAAAACACAAATCTGATACTGCCATTCCCTTATATAAAATTCTTCAATAGTTGTTTCTTGTTCTCAGGATAAAGGTAAAATCTCACAACCTGACCAAGGCCCTGCAACATCTGGCTCCTGCTCACCTCCCAAGCCTTATCTTTTTCTGTTCTTCTCCTCTGAACCCTTCCAGCATTTAGAGCCCCTCCTCAGTCCACAGTATCTTCTTTCAAGGGTTCACTGTTTGGTGGTAACTGCCCAAGGAGATGCTAAGCTCCCTGCAGTCAGGAGCCATGTCTAAAACTTTGGTCCTCTCCCCAATTTCACATGTGTTGGGCCCTTAAAATGTGCTGTTGAGTTTAAACCAGAGCCACTGTTTTTCCCCTTTATTTGGGACTTGGAGTTCCTCTGTACTCTGTGGCCACAGTGTACTCTTTGCCAATCCCCTCCTTGCCTTGCTCAGCTGCAAATCACAGGAAGGTTGGGCGGGGGAGTGTCCCGGAGAACAACTCCTTTTTTTTCCTGCTTTTGCCGCCCATAGTTTGCAGGTGGATTTGACCTTGTGTTCCCAAACCATCTTTGGTGTTAGCACAAAATAGCTCCCTCTCCACAACCTTTCCAGGCTAATGCACCAGAGTCAGATCTGGAGGTCTCTGGCTGATCTGCTAAACTTGATCACTGTCGTCTCCCTGACCCTGAATAGCTGAGACCAGGGGCCCTATTTTCTTCCTTTTCCTTTTCAGTTCTTGGAGTACTGAGCTGGCTTTGGTGAATGTTGTCTCTTTTAATATTCCCTTTCATATGAGCCTGGCTTACCCAGATTAACATATTTCATTAAGGGCTCTCTCTCCCTTTCTTCATCAAAGGGTTTATGATGCAAAATATTCTTCTTAAAATAAGGAAGCGGCTGGGGAGATGTCAGTGCCTTCTGCTCTGTGGGCTGCTTGCTGAGAGGGGACTGGGAATCTTTGGTTTTTCAGGAGATACATTCACTGTAGAGGGGACGCAGCTTGGAGAAAAGCCACATCTGGAGCGTTTAGCTGCCTGGGCTCAGGAAGCACATCCATTCTGCATCTCTAATTTTCTCCTTGGATCACGCCTTTGAGACCCCCATGACAATCTCTTCACAGCATGGAGAAGAGGCTTCCTGCGTCACAACGACAGCTCACGACATCCCAACACCAGTCCCTCTGACAGCCACACTCCAGCTCCCACAGAACACCATGCCACACCAGGCCAGCTCATCCCATGGTGGCCAGCACAGCCCCTACACCAGCTTGTGCTATGAGGCTGGTGTAGGGGAGGGCCATCCTCAAAGAACCCATCCTTGCTCTGTGCTTGGTGAACAGGGGTGAAATGTGGTGTCTGCATTTTTAAATCTGCACAGCGCCATCTGATAGATTTGTGTGGATGGTGCTATTTATCATTTGGCATTCATGTATTATTACTCTGCTGCCTGGGGCCAGGAGAAGTCAGCATGAGTGGGATGGCTTAGAAAGGGCAGACTCGGTAATTTCTCTTGGAAAATTAGCATGATGAGCAATATGGCAGGAATCCTGGCAAAGGCACAGTTGGGGCAAAGAAGGTCGGGAGCCGATGGTCAGGACCCAGGATGGGTGTGGCCTGGGGCAGGGGGAAGGGGAGAGGGGAAGCAGAGACACAGGACAGGGACCTGTGGGAGGTTACCATGTGCCAGGCTGGGTGCTAGGCACCTCCATGTACGTCATCACTCTCCCCAAATCCTCACGGCCACGCTGAGAATGAAATGTTACTGTCTCCATTTTATACATAAGGAGATGCCCCAAGATGTCAAGTGCTCACTAAAGATCATGCAGCTCTGACACTTGGTCTGCCCAAGTCTTCAGCTTTGTCAATGGTTCTTGTTCCACTAGTCCACAGGTGCAGGAAGCTGTCCTTAGACACACACACACACAAACACACACGCGTGTGCACACCCCCTCCTTTCTTTGAGTCATCCTCTGTTCCCTTGGATACCTTTTCCAGTTCTCACCTAATACAGTTTGTGGCGTATTACACTTGATTGGATAGTGCTTTGTAATGGTTCTGAAAGTGTGTGTGTGTGTGTGTGTGTGTGTGTGTGTGTATGTGTGTATGTGTATATTCTCACTCCAACTGCATTGTAAGCTCCAAGGGCAACATTCTGTCTCCTATTTCTTTTTCTTTCTCTACCACATGGCTGGTGCATGATTCTGCAAAAAAATATTGGCACTCAGTACATGTGGCTGACTGACAGACACATATATTTTAGACTGCAAGTCCCACAGGACTATAAATTGCTGCACGAGGTATTTGAGTTAGAAGAGAGAGAGGAACTTACATTTATTAAAAGTTTGCTCTAGCCCCGTGCTATCATAGATGCGTTCTCTCTAATCCTCTAAACAATCCCATGAGGTAGGCATCACCGCCCCCACTTCACAGATGGGGAAGCTGTGCCATGCCCAGGGTCTCTGCCTGCCTCCAATGATAGCACACTGCAGTTCTCATGGCACTCCTGTTCCTAAATGCCAGGATGTGACAGATGCCTGTCTGGGTGGGCTGTGCTGGAGCCATCCCACCCAAAGGTGTGGAAAGGACCGGCTGCCTTCTCAGTGCCCCGGGTCCTGTGACTTAGTTCTTTAAGAGTGCAAAGCCCTTGTGGTAGGCAGAGACTGAAGTTGAGCTTTCATCATCCCTCTCTCTACCCTCCCCATCCATCCTGGCGTTCCTAGCTGGGGTGGTCTACCGCAGTTCCTCATCCTGCAGGGAGCCAGAAGGGGAAGACATGGATGTGCTCTAAGAATAGCATCTTCCCTTTCCACCTTGCCTTCTGCCTTGCTCTCCAGATGTGTGATGTTCTCCACGTCGCCCCTGCTGAGTGGTGCCCCAGGAGAGGCTCCCACACATTAGAGACTGGTCACTGGAGGGGCAATGGGCATCAGGGCAGCCTGGGGGAGAAGGAACAGGGGGAGGGGCGCGAGCGACAGCCCAGGCATCCACCTCCCATTCCAGATGTGCGCCAGCAGGGAGGCGGTGTGCAATGCCATGTGCGATGTCACCCTCTGGACCCAGCCCTTCCTGTTTCCTCCTGGGTGGCCTGTATCCAATCTCAGGGAGCCCTGAGATGTGACATGGACACAGTCAGCCCTTCTGTCCCCTTTGCCTCATCACATTTCCCCAGCTGCAGGGCTGCAATGGCCTCCTTTCTTTTCTCCTGGGTATCAATTTCTTCCACTCACATTCATTCTTCTAAGGCACTATGTTTGCTCAAGTCTGCCCCGGGAGCTCAGACATTGTTAGTGGCTCTCAATGACCTTCCCCAGCAAAGTGAAAGCTCAACCCAGATGCCTCCCTCCCAACCTGGCCCCAAAGCACCTTTGTAGATTTATTGCCCATGAATTGCATCTGTGAGCCCTGTGCTAGATCATAGGCCACTTCCCGGTGTACATTGCACCCTCACTTGGTCTCTGTCCTTCACTTTCTCAAGATCTTGGCCTGTTGCCTTTTAGTACCCAAGACCCATCTCAGTGCAGCATCTACAGGGGACCAGACAGATGCCTTCCTAGACAACCCCTCTTGGCTCCAGCCCCTCCTTAGATCTGCGGCCCTCCTGCACTCAGGTTGAACTCCTGGGTGGCTGACCGCAACTAGACCAGAAGCGTCTGAGAATAGGGTTTGTCTCTGTAGACATGTGTATCAAAGATGACTGTCCCAGGGCCCCGGACACAGTGGCTTCTCAAGGGGTGAATGCAGCTCAGAGATTCGCTTTCACATGTCCCACTTCAACTCACTCGCCAATGCTTGCTGAGCATCTACCATGTGGCCGGGCCCTGCGCCGGGTGCTGGAAATGCAAAAGGAACAGGACTTGGCCAATCGAGAGGAGAGGACAGCCGGCCAGCCAATGGCCACTGCTGTGCTAAGTGGGAGAAGAAGGGTCTGGAAGCTTCAGGAGAAAACGAAACCTTCCATCTAAGCAAGGACCCACAAGAGGAGTTGAGCTGGTGGGGGAAGGAGACTGAGGAAGATTGAGTCATCTAGACTCTACTCTTTTCTATGCTTTATTTGTAATTAATTTAATTTGTAATTATTTTGAGGAGTGAATATAGGCTTATGGTATCAAATTCAAAAGGTACAAAGGATCCAGAGTGAGACATCTGCTTTCTTCTCACCCTGCTGTGAAGCCACTCAGGTGCACTCTGTTCCCCACTGAGGCCCCTCCTTGCCATTCCTGCCACCTGACCATGGGACCTATGACAGTGTCCCCAGATGCAGGATGCTCATGGCACCCCACAGTGCCTCACAGTGGCAGGGCGGCTGCACAGCAGCCAGCTGGGGTCTGAGAGGAGGGCTCTGGGAAGGGCTATTTTTTTTTTTTGAGATAGACTCTCCCTCTGTTGCCTAGGCTGGAGTGCAATGGCACGATCTCAGTTCACTGCAACCTCCGCCTCCCGGGTTCAAGCAATTCTCCTGCCTCAGCCTTCTGAGTAGCTGGGATTACAGGGGCATGCCACCACGCCTTGCTAATTTTTGTATTTTTAGTAGAGATGGAGTTTCACCATGTTGACCAGACTGGTCTCGAACTCCTGACCTCAGGTGATCCACTTGTGTCAGCCTCCCAAAGTGTTGGAATTACAGGCGTGAGCCACTGCGCCCAGCTGGGAAGGGCTCTTAGAGGAAATTTAGGTCCAAGCTTTTCCAGGGTCTCCTATCCCCCCATGACCCACTTGTGGGGACCATTCTTAGGACCAGCTCTCTGATCTCCAATCATCCTCTTCACCCCAGACCAGGAGCACCCGTATGACCTGGCCAAACCCGTGATGCTTCTGATGCTAGAGACAGCCCACAGCCCTGGGTTCAGTGCCCTTACACGGCTTCAAATCGGACCACCCTTGGGAACCCTGGCCCAGGGACAGTCCTGGAAAGGAGCTGACATCACTACCCATAAACTGGGGGTCTCCATCTTCCACCTGGACTCCTAGCCCGGCCAGTGTCCCTCCCTTCAGAAGCCACAGCGGCTTGTGCACTGGTGGGTGCTTGTATGTCTGGCTTGGATGGGCAGCCCTGAGGGCACAGGCAGGGCACGTGGCACAAGGGGCCATGGCAGGCCACGCTGTCACCCTCCTGGTCCAGCACCTACCTGATTTGTTCTTATATTCGATGTCGAAGCCTGTGATGATGCTGTTCCCGTCGAATCGCTGGGTCCAGCGCAGGTTCATGCTCCGGGCCTTCACCTCCCGGATCTCCAGCTCTGGGGGGTCGGGGGGCTCTGGAGTGCGGCAAGGGAGGGGAGGGAAGTGAGGAGGGCAGCAGGGAGCTTGGCCTCCTGCTTGGCCCTGGGGGTTGGCATCGCCTGGGTCTTGCCAAGGACTCTGGCACTCTAGGGTTTGAGCAGGGTGGGAGCTGGAGGAGGCCAGCAGTTGGGCTCAGAGGCTGAGGAGGTCTGGCTTGCTCTCCTGTCTTGCTGCCATCTTGTTCTTGGCCTGGGAGAGGGCTGACTCTTCTGCAGGGATTCCTGTTAGCTGACGGCATTTTTCCCCTTCCCTTTCCCAGCTTGACTTTCCCTTCCCACACCCGCTGCAGGGGCCTGGACCCAGGAACCTGACTCCTCCACCCCTCCCCAGAAGGGGCAGTGGAATCGATAGCGGCTGTAGCCATTGCAAACTTTTGCTGTCTAAGTCCCTGGAAAGGTCTTATTTCCCTACCCTGGGCAGGTGGAGGGAGGCTTTTCCCCAGAAGGCAGTTTTCTGTCATCCTCCACCATGGTGTAGGCTGTGGCCCCTGCTCTTTGAGGTAGAGTTAGCAGTGGGCCCCTGGGCCCTGGGGAGGTGGGATGGGAAGGGCGGGGCAGGTGAAGGTACCTTGTACAGTGAGTTGGATCAAGCCCCGGTCCTCCCCATACGAGTTGATGGCATGGCAGCTGAAGAACACAGAGTCCCCACGGTCAGCGGGCTTGAGCTGGGAGACCACCAGCAGGGGAAGGAGAGGGAGGAAACAGGGAGAGTCTTTTAGAGCTGGTCAGCTGAAGGGGCCACTCCAGGGCTATCAGCAAGGCCCTCTTGTTCTGGGAGGGGGACCCACAGGGGTTTTGCAAAGGTCTTCTCTTCCCAGGGACTTCCAAAGATGGAAGTATGGAGGGCTTCATACAGGGAGGAGACACCAGAGGGAGGGAGGGAGGAGCTGAGGAGTCCTAGGGGAGTGGGAGGGGCTGAGGGGTCCCAAAAGGGAGAATGGAGCCCCCGGGGGTTCCAGAAAAGAAGGCGAGACTGAGGAAACCACATTTGATTGCTGTGGGGTTGTCAGAAAGGAGATACAGTGAAGTTCTGAGACAGAGATTCCTGGATGGAGAAGGGAAATAAGTGGGAAAGGGGAGGTACATTTTTGGAATGTGGGGAGGGGCTCCCAGGCTCCCCATTTGCCTCTCGAATGCAGATGTGATAGTTGTGGGCTCCCCACTCTCTGAGAGTCGGGGTCCCCCAGGACTGGGGTGGGGCACTCACCTTCAGCGTGGAGACGACCTCATCACCATTGTCTTTGGTGGCGATGGCGTACCGCATGACACGGTCAGGATCGATGACCGTGTCCCCCTTCTCCCAGCGGATGATGATGGGCCGCTCACCCCGTGCCGTGCAGTTCAGCTCCTTCGCATGGCCCTTGATGGCGATGGTGGTGTTGGGGTGGGAAGTAATCATGGCCGGGACTGGGGGGCGGAGGTGGAGGAGGCCCCGTGAGGGTTGTGAGGTCAGCCTGGAGGAGGCATGCGTGCCCTGCACAGAAGCCCCCGCCCCAGCCGTCCCTCCCCCAGGAGAGGCTCCAATAAAGGAGTACAGGGAACTCCACTGGCCTGTCCCTTCTCCCACACCCATCCATGACTGGGACAGCCTCCCTCTTCACCAGGGGTCCCCACATTCCTCCTCTGGGGAGGCAGTGGACCGGGCTCAGAATGCTTTTACAGGTATGCCATACATAGAACTGTAAAGGAAACCAGTTATACTGAAATATGGTTATGCAAATATTAAAAACACGAACAAGCAAACCTTCGATATTGTATATCACATATCAGTATGTGTTCTTTACTACTCTTTACAAAATAAGATCCAGCAGTAGCTCGTATAATTGCTGTCTTATATTACCATGATCCTGTAATAGTGCTGCGTATAAGTGATATTTTGAGATATCTGCAATCACTGTGATGTGATGGGAGCATATCTGAGGATTTCTGCTGGTGACAGTCACAGGGGCTGCTCTTACTGCGCTTTGTCGCTTATGTTCAAAATGGAAGGAAATACTAAATTTCAGTGAGAAGTTAGTGAAAAAATGTGGTTTTCTCTCCACCCACATTCATGGGTCCCCCTGAATCAGATCTACAGAGCTTCTAGCGGCCTCTGGACCCCAGGTTAGGAAGCCTTCTTGAAAACACCAAGACTCTGCTTTTTCTCTATGGCTAAGGCTTGTTCATCTCCCTCCTGTTCTTTCAAACAAGATACAAAGGAAAACCCTGGACACCACCACAATAAACATCCACAAGCAGTGCTAACAGGACTGAGAAAATCACCAGCAAACAACCAGGGCCCAGGCTGG